TCAATACTTTTTACTGAATGCATGAAAAAGGAAAAATGTTTCAGACAAACTCCTGTTTGGAACAGTGATGCATGCAATACATGAACAAACATATCTGCAGAGAGGCAATTGACCGGATAGCAACACACGCTGAAAGCAAGTTTTGATAAACAAGCAAGTTAATAACAACTGGAAGCTGACTTCTGGTTTGCTGAGGCAGCTGTCATGGATGTTTGGAAAGCGAGCTCCATCTTCTGTGCCCAATTTTGCATCGCTGGGGGACCCTGGAAAGGGTCAAAAGTTGCTCTGTAGGGGCAACCAGCAAGGAGGGATACCCATGATCACAAAAGGGCAGTAGCCCTTCCGTTTGATCCAGGGCAGCCCTCCAAACTGGCAGATGAAAGACCGGCCATAGAAATATGGCTCATCACTAGGCTGCAGACAGCTGAAGTCACACTTACCATCAAGCAACTTTAAAGCAGCGCGGAAGAGACTGGGTGAGATCTACCTCTCTTAAATCCTATCTATCTTTTTTAACAGCATAAGCTGGTTAAGTACTTTCCTCCCTGTGGAGAGGGAAGGGAGATTTTATCTCTCTCTCTAAAAATAGCGGCGACTGACTATCCAGGGGAGTTTAAAAATGTTGCAAGAATAACTTGATCCTAATTGGAATTTTACTTCTTAAAGTTTGTGGACTAAAAGACTTTCTACTTTTACTGAAGATCTGGGTTTTTACTTATAAAAAAAGAAGTAAAACTGAAAAGATTATAAAAACTTCGGACCTAAAGAAAAATTTTAAATATAAGGGCGACATCTTGTGGCTAAACCTGATATTACAACCTGTTGTTGTTCAAAATAGACTTGGCTGGCAGCCTAGACAATAGATAAGACTTATAACCTTGAAATATCAGCTGTGAAACCCAGCTGCATTCCATATTTACTGATTTTTTTTTTTACATTTTCTGATTGCAAAGCTTTTAACCTAATATACTACTAAGAGAATATGGAGGAAGATCAGGAATGGATTCTTTTTATGCTGAAAGCAATTTACCAAACTATTCTTACAGCTACTGATGAAATAAGAGGTTGCAGAAAAGAGTGGGATGTCAGTCCAGATATACGAACTCAAATTTTGATTACAACTGAAAAATCAACTACACAGAATATAACAGAAAAAATGGACCAGTTAAATACTATGACAGAGGATTCAACTGATCAACAAAAACAATCAATGGAAAACTGAGAAAAGGGACTGACAATATGGAAAAGGAAAAAGATTTTTTACATAAATCAGAAAAAAAACCTGATGATCAAGAAAAACAACAGACTGAAGAGAAGATAAACAGTTCAAGACAACTATATCAAGATGGAAAAATAGAGAGACAAATTGTTAGTCCTCTCAAATAAATGGCGATTGGATGGTTTTTTCCACATCAAACAACATACATAACACTACAGGGAGATCTATTTGATGACCCAAAAGCACGGACATGGAAGATGATTTGGCAAAGAAAGAAAGCTAGAATAAGACTGAAGAAAATTGGGGTTTTGACTTACTAGTGAGAATTAAAATAGAATATTCTCATATAGATAAGATGTGTAGTTTGAATATTAGAAATTGTTATGAGTTGAGTTAAAGGATACTCTGGTCATTCAAGACTTGGAAATATAAACATTAATAGCTAAATCTGAATATTGAATATAAAGCCAATTAAAATATATATAAACTAAAGAAATATTGATGAATGCAATAAATGTTTTTATTTGGTGGTAATAACAAAAAATATTAGCTTAAATATGAGATAGTAGAGTGAGAGAAAAAAGAGGAAGTATTAAATGTTGAAATAAGAGAAATTTTGGTTATTAAGTTTAGGAAATTACTAGAAAACAAGAATATTATATTGTATTATTAACTAGCTGATGTAAGATCTTGGGATGAGTTGTGATAAAGGAAATTGGGGTCATTTAAAACTTGGAAACTATAAATATTAAACGTTAAATTTAAATATTAATGGGAAACTAAAAATTGGGGAAAATTTAATAGAACAATGATTGTCTGAAAAAATTGAATGTTAAAATGACTAAGATATGTATAAACTAAAAATTATTGATAAATGTAAGAAAGTTATTTGTAGTAAATTGATATAATAAGAATTGCACTAATTTAAATGTGAGACAGTAAATACTAAGGGGAAAAGAGAGGAAATATTTAATGTAATAGTTTGTAATTTGTACTAAAGAAATTTGTATGTTATTGAATTATGAACCAACCCAGCCACCACATTGCTTTTCAAATATTTAAATGTAAAACTGGAAAATCAATAAAAATTAAAAAAAAAAATAGCTGGAGGCTTGCTGAAGGCATAAATTAAGATCTATTTGGCTGATAACTAAAACATCCAAAAATCATGAAGCTCCTTTTACACATACAACAGTGTCAGGTTAAGGTCTCACAATATACCTCTTCTTAATCCCCACTTGAAGTGTAGACTGAACACCAGGGTATTCCATAGGTAAGTCATGGAGTAGTCCATTTGTGGCACCTGATGGGTTTTGGTACAATCTAGCAATTACAAAGGTTTGATATAACAGAGTATTTTTTTCAGCCTAAGCCTTATATTTCAAACCAATTTCCCCAATATATGTACAGTGTTATCAATTCAGAGCACATCTGGGGAAGGGGGGGGGAAGACTTGAAAAAAATGTTAGATTGTCTCCATGGTGGCCTCTTCCTGACTCTGGGTTATGTTTTGTTTCACAGTAGGTCAAGGAGTTATTATAAGTCCTGTTAAATCTTCATGCAGATGTAACTGTGAAATATATCTTTATTATTTGCCATAATATACCATAAGAATTCTGATAGAAGAGAACATGTGTATCTCAGGGTTGAACTGTGGGGTCCTTGATAATGAAACATCTGCAAGAAAGCACCTAAGTTCAGAGAGAACTTGGTTGTTTTTTTTGCAGATGTTTCATTATCAAGCTAGATAACTTCATCAGTGATATTACCTGGTTTGTTAATGAAACATCTGCAACAAAAAAAAGCTCAGAGTCATCAAGGACCCCACATAAGAATTCTTTTTGAACCCTTGACTTGAGCCAGACTAACTTCTGCCTGAATTTACTTAGGTTTTGTGCCTGAGTTAGAGCTTGCATATAAACAGATTGTTGTCTGTGAGCTACATAGGAATTGTAAGTAAGTGAAGACAAGCTTGGACTAGCTTTGCTTACCTGGAAAGTTAACATGTAAGACTGACTGATGTAACAGCAAAATGGAAATTAGTTACTGTAATAAGATTATTGTTTGCACAAAGATGAAAAGATTTGGCACTCCGACAATGGAGGAATGGTTGGTGAAAATGATGCAATTTGATGAGGTAACTAAATTGACTTATCAGACAAAAGACAATATCTAGTATTCATTGTTGAGTTAAAACCCTTATGGACTTTTTGCATGAAACAGAAAAAAAATGAACTTATAATTTATGGTTTTGATAATTAGACAGGATAGATCATAGAAAAAGAGATTTCAGCTGTACCCTTAGACTAGAGCAGTGGTGGTGAACCTATGACACGTGTGCCAGAGGCGGCACTCAGAGCCCTCTCTGTTGGCATGCACACCACCACTGCTAGCAGCAGGTCACTACCGTCACCCGGAGCAGAAGCCCCACCCAGCACAAAGGAGGCAAAGCATCTGACTAGCAAGTTTGAGTAGAGATGGTAGAGCAGACGTCACCAACCATTGTTGATTGGTGGACTGGAAGAAAAGGGAAGGGGAAGCATTTTACATGTGTGCATGTGCACACAGGGATGCAAGCATGCACATGCTGCAAATGGGGTGGGGCTAGTGCCTATGTGATACTCACTAGTCCTGCCCCATTCTTGCGTGGTGCAGCGCCTTGTATCTGCACCCCATGGCATGGTGGCAGCAGTTTTTTCACCTTGCAGCACGGTGGCCCATTTTTGCACTACCAGTTTTTGCGTGTCAGAGATGGCACTCCGGCACTCAGAGGCACCTCCCTGCCCCCCCCCAAGGGCACCACAATGCTGATGCGGTCCTGGCACTTTGCGATAAATAAGTGGATTTTGGGTTGCGGTTTGGGCACTTGGTCTCTAAAAGGTTCACCATCACTGGACTAGAGTAAAAGGTGAATTTATAATCATATTTATAACTGTTGTAAAGAAGATCAGAAGCTACTTCTCTGTATCTTTTTTCTATTTTTCTATTATTTCCCCTTTCACTTTTAGCTTTTTTGTACTTTATATTAGTTTGTATTAGTTTTTATCTTCCTTCTTAAAAAAGTTAATAAAATTATTTGAAAAACAGCAAAATGGCAATGAATTGTCTTTCTAAACATGATCCATTGACAATAGTATATGTGTTACTGTGGAAATGTTGATGTAGTATATAAATTTCAGTGCATACTCTGTTGTGTATATGGAAGACTCTTCAGAAGAGATATCTGAATTGAATGAATAGTCACCTCTTTAATAATGACATCACAGGCAAAATATTGTGGTGTGGACTTAGCATAATCCCTAAATATGGCTTTTAAATAAATGTAAAACTCTGTCTAATTGAATGTTCTATGCTTGAGGTCACACATAACACTCTAAGGCAGTATTTCTCAACCTTGGGAACTTTAACATGACTAGACCTTAGCTCCCAGAATTGTCAGCCACCATGGTGGCTGGAGAATTCTGGAAGTTTACACACTTTAAATTTGCGAAGATTGAGAAACATTGCTTTAAGTCTTCATTGTCAAAACAATTATCAGAAGTAACTGCTCAGTGCAATGCACAAATAATGATGGCTCTTTCATATAGAAACATGCTTTTTAACATCCCCTCAGCTAAACAAGAAAAACCATAAACATTGGGGATGAAATTTTGTAATCTGTCATGGTTCCGACAGATGAAATTTTTCAAAAGAACTTCGAGGCATTATTTACCTTAAACAATGTTTTATTCGAGAAACAAAGTATTGGCACATAGTTAAAGCCAAAAACTGAATTCCCCTCCCCTGGGCACAAAGTACAAAGCACAATTCCCTCCTCCAATAAACAGCAATAAATCACATTCCCCAATTAGCTTGAAGTGTGGGCTTTCTCCCAAGCTCTCCAGCCTGCCAAATTTTTATCAAATCTGGATGCAATAATCTTGATTCCCATGGCTGAGTTATTATTGTTATGACTAAGTAGACTCTCATCCACATCCTCCCTCCCAGCATCAACTAACTCTAAAAGCGAAAGAAAAAAGATGGCTACATTTCCATCTGTTGTCAAAGCAAGAACATCCAATGTTAGCAGCTTTGACATACAGAGTGTAAATAAGGGAGGTATAAGAGCAAAGGGACATTTTCTGACAAAAGAGGATGGTAACATTTCAAAACTAATGTGGAAAATATGTACTGTTTATTTTCTACATCAAATTCAAAATGCTGTTATCCTCTATTGCCAGAGAAAACTTCCACCTATATTTATTTGTAATTCTGCATTAGATGAAAAATATCCTCATGCAAGTATTTTGGGGCATCAAGGCCCCAGATAAAATCAGCATGGTGCCAGCTAGGAATATACTTATGGAAAATTAAGTTAGTAAGTCGCTGGAGCAGGTGATTTATGTTCTCTGGAGTCACAATGAAGTCATTCCCACCACTCCAAACAGCTGTTGGCACAGTTATATCTTCTAATTTATAAAAAGGGGGCTTGGTCTGTGGAAGAAGAGATGCAAAATATGAAATAGTCTTCAGTTTTTCTATTTCCAGATATTTCATCTTTCAGTAATATCAACATTCTTGTTCCATGCATCCAGATCTGAAAAAAATACCCATTCTTTGACAAATCCTTTTCTCTTATATTCTATGATAAATAATTCTTATTTTGTGACAGATAAGTTAAAAAGCTCTCACATTAAAGGTTTAATCAAGCAGTAGCTCAGGATGAATCACCTCTGTATATTTTGTATCAGCCACAAGTGCTCCAGACAGCTTTGTAGACTCTAGCAGGTACAGAGCTCCATGAGACAAGGGAATAGCCATCTTATCAAACCACAGTCTATGCTTTGACAGGATACTATGTCTGCAAACTTCTAATTATTTTTGGAAATTATTTGTTAACTGTTTTTCAGCTATTAGGAATCTTTGGATTGACAATACCAGGTGAGTTTCCTTGAAATCTTAGCAAACAAAGTTTTGACTACAAGTTTAAGAACTTAAAAATACTTTTTGGAATAAACATAAAAGTTATTAAAACTTTGATTTTTAGAAAGTTACAAATTAAAGGGCCAGATAAATTTGAAATTAGATTTTAGAATTAATTATAAAGAATACTGTCTATCGAAAATGCTTTTCTTTTGATTTTAAAAAAATGTATAGTAAGAATTTCAAATCTAGACACTAGAGGGAATTAAAGGGAACCAAAGATTACAATTAAACAAGAATACAAACTCAATTTACAATTATAGAATGAAGCAAAATATTTTAACATTGGATAAGAAAGGATATTTTTGAAAACTAGACCCAAAAGTTAATTTTAATAGTGCCTTTATAAATAAACTGTCTAAAAGATGTTAGGGAAGAGGAACAAGTTCTACCTGATAAAATTGAGACTGCAGTGGAGGCATACAAAAGAAATTGGCTGAAAGTGCTACAGCTTTAATTTAGCACATTGTTCCTCCCAGTTAGACTTTGATTAATCCAGTGAGGAAAGTGCTCTAAAACAGAATGGATGGTAGTAGTATGCAGAGTAGGCTGTCACCAAGATTGTGGGAAGTAGGAAGTTGTGTGGGGAAGATGGATGCCAGGAAATCATACCTCTTTGTGTATGTATGCAATCACATGTCTCATTACAAGCACTGTAACAATATTTTCCTCACCATGTTGTATATAGCTTTGTTCTGGTTTCCAAAGTCGAAATGTTTAAATTCATTTGATTCAAAAATCTAAATTGAGAAGAAAGAGTTGCATATACTTAACATGTTTATTTTTTTAAATCTGAAATTAGAGACAAATATAAGTTCAAAATTAAAGGATTTTAATTATCACACCCTCTCTCCAGTTTGCAAAAAAATTCATAAAATGGGGGATGGTCTATAAAGAATATTTGGATCTTTGACTCCATTGCATGTTACATTGTATCCAATCTAAGGGAGCCTCAAGCTATGTAGATTTAGAAGTTCCCCCCTCCCCATCACCTCATTTGGCTTGGGTCTTTCACAGGATTCTATCAGCTCAAACCCAAATTCTGCACCTTATTAATCAGAGATACCATAGGCAAAACAAGTACAATTCATTTGCCTATTGTGGGGGACATTTGCTACTCTTTATCCAGATTCTATGTCACTAGATTTCTCTTATATTCTTGATGGTTCAGTGTGGGCTTGGATTGAAGTTTTTGATGCCAACTGATTTTTCTGTGATCATAATTTAATTTCTACCCTTTCTTAGAACATCAAGGCAGAAAGTAAAGAATCTTGATGTCTCACTCCTGGATTATATTACTATTCTGATATCCTCCCCTTTCAAGAAAATATGGGTAAGTCACCTATGTTTCCTTTATTCAAGAAATAAAGTGGTGGGTATAGTTTCCATTTAGTATTCTCATAAATATGCTAGAACCAGTTCTGCCTTAGATTGTCTTCTTTAATTTACCTTGCAATATTTTGTTTATAAATATTTATATAACCCTTCCCCCATTGCATTATTCTTATTAGTAATCCCTGGGACCTTCTATTACTAATTTACTAAAATTCATACTCAGAACTTCAAATAGTATTTGCTTATCAATTTGATCAGACACGTTGGAGGCAAGTCCTTTTTAATGGTTCTCTCCCAAAAGAGAGAGTTCATTATGTCCAGACTCAACTATCTAGGAACAAGCATTGTTACATGGCAAGCTTTCAACCTGTCGATTTGACAGATAGTTTGGGCACTGTCACTCACAAAACTGAGATATTACTATTATCTTTGTCCTGATAAGTATGAATAGGTTGTACCACTTCTATTGGAAAACATACTTTTAGTGGGAATATAATTTGGCTTAATGCTTTAATCATTTTAAATTGCACGGAGGAGGCTTTAGGAAGCCACTATAGCCGTGGTGGCGAACCTATGGCATGCGTGCCACAGGTGGCATGCAGAGCCCTCTTTGTGGGCACATGCGCCATCTCCCCAGTCCTAGGGTTTTATAAAACCTTTTTGCTTTAGGCCTCCATTGCATTGTGCAAAAAAAAAAAAAAAGGTTCATTCAATCAATCAATTTCAACTTCTCATGGGGAAAAAAAATCTTGCAAAGTTGGAATTGATTGATTGAACTTTTTAGTCACACCCAGTCTGCCATTACCATTGAAGCCACACCCACCCAATGGGCCACACCCACCCAGTGGGTCACACTCAGCCAATGGGCCATGCCCACCCAACACCCAACAATAAGTGGGTTTTGGTTTGCAGTTTGGGCACTCTGTCTCTAAAAGGTTTGCTATCATTGCACTATAGGGTCTTTAGCACAATTGTACTATGCATCAATGAGTGTTGGAGAATGCACTGGCTGATGCATTTTGGCCTGACTGAAGGTTCTGAGGTTTTCCTTTAGAGCAGTCCCACGTAGAGAACATAGTAGTGTTCTAGGAGAGTGGTGATGGGGTATAAGTCAATGTAACAACATCCTGTCACCCTGGTAGGGCCACAATTGCCAAAGGATCCCTGGCCACAGCTTCCACTTGCTGTTCAAGCAGGAAATGCAAGTCCAGGAGGATCCCATAGCAGTGACCTACTCCCTAATGGTCGTGTTTCCCCACCAAGGCATACTATTGGAGCTATCAAGTACTCCAAAAGAAACAGTAACTGTGTCTTAGGATAAAAGGATCAATATTTGTTGTGGATCCTCAGAAAAATCACAGGGAGACATCAATTGCAACGGTCCAGGAAATGATCTGACCATGTTCAAATCACATGACAAGTGCTCTGAAGTGAATCTAAGGTCTAATACATGGTCACTAATGTGTGTTGGTCTTGAAATTATTGTGGACAAGCCCAGAGTTATGATGAAGGTCTTGAACTAGAGCCATACTCCATCAACAGGCCAGATACATCATGCCCACCCCATTGCCAGCAATGGCAAAACTGGTCCAATACGTTGTGCGAAGTCATGTGACATCGCGAGTTTGACATGCCTGATCAACAACAACACTACAATATTTTAACAAATAATTTTAGAATTAAGGACAATGATATAGAATTTAGTTTTCAAAGAAGTAGTTGAGGAACAGAGACTTGTACATTTGTTTGGTATATGCTCAGTGGTGGGATTCAAATATGCGAACAACCAGTTTTCTGTGTGGATGCTGCTTCTGGAAGTCCATTCTGGGCCCGGGCAACAAAAAAGTAGCTACCAGTTCTGCTGAACTGATGCAAACTGGTTGAATCCCACCACTGTGTATGCCTGATATTAAACATTTAATCTAATGGTAGCAAATAGTACCATTGTATTTTGACTTGCAAAGAAAATTGGAAAATGGAACTTTACCTGGGTCCAATGAAATACAGTTTTCACAGAAGCAAAATCAGGGTAACTTCCCAAAAAAAGATCGGCTCGACTCTGAAAAAAAATAAACACAAAATAATTAAAACATTTGAGAGTTTGAAAGCTACATCAATTAAGCTTCTTAAAGCCAAAAAGAGAGGCAGGTAGATTTCTTTAAATCCTCTGTCAGAGAAAGCCTATTCAATTCCTACTGAAGGTAACCTTGAAATTTTCAAGCCAAGGAAAAATTATTCTGTCTCATTATTGGCCAACAGTCACCAAGCAAAATAAGATAAGATCAGATAAGATAAGATAACCTTTATTGTCATTTTTATACTGTGGGCCCAATGGCACACATCAAAAATGAAATTTAGTTGCCTGCTCTCAAAGTGAAACACATACATGACACACACCTAAACATACTATGAACAACATATGTATACACCCACACCCCTACATATATGTAGCAAATAAATATTGAATATTATCCATCTTGAATATATAATGGAAGGAGGAAGCTTGAGAATTCATAAGGTTAATGCTGTATGGAATGAAACTCTGGCTGAATCTGGATGTTCTGCTTCAGATACCACGAAGCCTCCTCCTAGAAGGTAACAAGGAAAACAGGTCATAAAGAGGATATGTAGTGTCCCAGATAATCTTATGGACCCTGCTCAAGCAGCGCTTCTGTGCTTTGTCCTGGATGGGAGGGAGGGAGCTGCCAATGAACTGTTTGGCCATTCTCACCACTCTCTGCACCACCTTCCTGTCTGAAGCAGTGATGCCTCCAAACCAGACTGTGATGCTTTATGACAGGATGCTCTCGATTGTCCCCCTGTAGAAAGTGTTCAGGACAGGGGAAGGAAGATGTGCTTTTCTCATGCAGTGCAGAAAATGCAGGTGCTGCTGTGCCTGCTTCGCCAGTTTCTCACTGTTGAGCGACCAAGTCAGCCTACTCGTTAGCTGCACACCCAGGAATTTGATGCTGGTAACCATCTCCACAGGTGAATCATTTATGCACAGAGAAGTGCGGCTGTGCCTGCCTTTTCTGAAATCAACAATGATCTCTTTGGTTTTTCTGGTATTTAAAACTAGGCTGTTTTCCTTACACCAGTTCACCAACCCTTCAATCTCCTTGCAGTAAGCTTCCACATTGTCATCCTGAATAAGGCCCACTACTGTGGTACCATCTGCAAACTGTCATGTGTCTGATTAACGAAACACTTCAAAGAACTTTCAGGCATTTCTTTTAACCTAAAAAGCCTTTATTAGTGTTACAGAGATGTCAGCACGGCATGGTGGAATGCTAAGATCTGAATTTCCCTTCCCTTTGCACATAACATTCCAGGCATTTCCCCTCCCCTATTTTGGGGTCATGATTCACATCTTCCAATTACCTTGGAGGGCAAAGATTAACTTCCATTTCTTCCCCCCCCCCCCGCTTTCCTTATATTCTCCTCCCCTTTCTCTGTCACCTGATTTAACTCTAAAAATACCAGACAGTTCTGCATATATTGTCAAAGCAAGAATATTCAATATTAGCAGCATTGACATCCAGCCCCCCTTACACAAAGGACAGATCCTTACTATGGGGAAAGGCCCCAAGAATTTTGGTCCCAATTTCTTGCTGGGCACTTTGAAGCGTAGATATTTAGTTGACAAATAAACCTTTTCCCCAACTTGGAATGTTCTTTGGGGAGCCCTCTTCCTATCAGCCTGCTTTTTTTTATTTAAAAGTTTTACAAATTTATTACAATATAAACCCCCCCACCCCTTCCCCCCTCCCCCACTTCCCAGAGCTGATTACAGGATAAAAAATAAAATAAACAAACATAATCTAACTAACATAAACCGACTATACTATCAAACAAAACCATAACACACTTTAACTCCTTCTCCAAACAAATATTAACAAATTAAATCAAAGATAAGATAATTATAATTATTAATAATTATCTAAAATCTACTCAAAAGCAAGATAATACTTTTCAATGTCATATTTCTTCTGAATATAATCAATCCATCTTCTCCAAACCATAATATATTTTTCTTGTGATTGATCCTTCAAATGGGTGGAGATTTTTGCCATTTCTGGTAAATTAGAAACTTTAAGTATCCATTCTTCCAAAGTAGGCAATAATTTTTTCTTCCAATATTGCCCCACCAATAGTCTTGCAGCTGTTATAAGGTTCAACATCAAATTAGTTTCTCTAACATCAAAATCTACAATAATACCCAACAAAAATAATTGCAGAGTAAACTTATCTTTTTCTTAAAAATCTTTTGAATATTCCACCAAATCTTAATCCAAAAAGCTTTAATATCTCTACAAGTCCACCAAATATGAAAATAAGTTGCATCTAAATTTCCACATCTCCAACATTTGGGCTGTAAATTCGGATACATGTGGGACAACTTTTGGGGATCCAAATGCCATCTATAAAATATTTTATAAAAATCTTCTCTAAAATTTTGTGCCTGAGTAAATTTTACATTTCTAACTCAAATTGTCTCCCATGTATCCAATAAAATCGGTTCTTGAATATTTTGTGCCCATTTAATCATACAATCTTTAATTAATTCTGTTTCAGAATCCAATTCTATTAAAACATTATAAATTCTTTTTATATGAGTTTGACTTTGATCTTTAATCTGTTTTACCAAATTAACATCCTATCAGCCTGCTTTTTATAGGTTTCAAAAGTCTTATTTAAAGCAATTTTTGTGTTTCTCCAAACCTCTTCCCACACCCTCACCCACTGGTCATGTGTCTGGAAAGCTCTCGCTTTATTTTCTTTACTCCAGGGTCATCAGGATTGGGGACCCTGTGAGGTGTAAGTTGAGTGGCAATTTGTGGATTGAGTATAATTGCCTTGTTAACCTCCTCCCATTTGCTTTTGTATTGGGGTAACTGGGATAGCACATCAGCTAGGAAGTTCTTTCCTCCTGGTATGTACTATATGGTTGGTGGCAAACCTAGCACAACAGTCATGGGTCAACAGGGTGAACAGCAGCGGACTTAAGACACAGCCCTGAGGAGAACCTGTGCTCAAGAAAATGGTATTAGAGGTATTTGTTCCAACTCGCACATATTGGGGCCTGTTAGTAAGAAAATCAAGAATCCAGTTACACAAAGGAGTGTTTAAGCCTAAAAGGCCCAGTTTGTCTACTAGATGCTGGGAATGATTGTGTTAAACACTGAACTGAAGTTGACAAACAGCAAATGCACATGAGTATTTCTTTCCACTAAGTGCTTCAGCCCCTTTATGGATTACTGCCTTGTTGTGGCGAAGGGGCTTGTGTAACTCAATGAAGCTATAAGCTATGCCGTGAAGGGCCACCCAAGATGGACAGGTCATAGCAGAGAGTTCTGACAAAATGTGATCCACTGGAGAAGGAAATGGCAAACCACTCCAGTATCTTTGCCATGAAAACCCCATGGACAGTACTAAAAGGCAAAAAGATATGACGCTGGAAGATGAGCCCCTCAGGTCGGAAGGTGTCCAATATGCTACTGGGGAAGAGCAGAGGGCTAGTACTAGTAGCGCCAGAAAGAATGAAGCGACTGGGCCAAAGCCGAAAGGACGCTCAGCTGTGGATATATCTAGTGGTGAAAGGAAAGTCCGATGCTGTAAAGATTTTTTCTCCATAGGAACCTGGAATGTAAGATCCATGAATCAAGGCAAGCTAAACGTAGTCAAAAAAGAGATGACAAGACTGAACATCGACATCTTAGGAATCAGCAAACTAAAATGGACAGGAATGGGTGAATTTAACTCAGATGACCATCAGGCATACTACTGTGGGCAAGAATCCCTCAGAAGAAATGGAGTAGCCTTCATAGTCAATAAAAGAATAGGAAAAGCAATACTGGGATACAATTCCCAAAATGACAGAATGATCTCAATTCGAATCCAAGGCAAACTATTCAATATCACAATAATCCAAATCTATGCCCCAACCACTGGTGCTGAAGAGGATGAAATTGACCAGTTCTATGAAGCCCTACAGCACCTTATAGAATTAACACCAAAAAATGATGTCCTTATCATCATGGGGGATTGGAATGCTAAGGTAAGAAGCCAAAAGATAACCGGAATAACAGGCAAGTTTGGCCTTGGAGTACAAAATGAAGCAGGGCCCAGGCTGATAGAATTTTGTCAAGAGAATACAATGGTCATAACAAACACTCTTTTCCAACAACCCAAGAGATGGCTCTACACATGGACATTACCAGACAGTCAACATAGAAATCAGATTGACTATGTGCTCTGCAGCCAAAGATGGAGAAGCTCTATACAGTCAGTAAAAACAAAACCAGGAGCTGACTGTGGCTCAGATCATGAGCTTCTTGTTGCAAAATTTAGGCTTAAATTGAAAAAAGTAGGTAAAAGCACTAGGCCATTCAGGTATGAACTAAATCATATTCCTGATGAATATACAGTAGAGGTGACAAATAGATTTAAGGAATTAGATCTGATAGACAGAGTGCCTGAAGAACTATGGATGGAAGTTCGCAACATTGTACAAGAGGTAGCAACTAAAACCATCCCAAAGAAAAAGAAATGCAAGAAAGCAAAATGGCTGTCTGAGGAAGCTTTGCAAATAGCTGAGGAAAGAAGGGAAGCGAAAGGCAAAAGAGAAAGAGAAAAATACACCCAATTGAATGCAGAATTCCAGAGAATAGCTAGAAGAGATAAGAATGCCTCCTTAAATGAACAGTGCAAAGAAATAGAAGAAAACAACAGAATAGGGAGGACCAGAGATCTCTTCAAGAAAATTGGAGATATGAAGGGAACATTTCATGCAAAGATGGGCATGATAAAGGACCAAAATGGCAGGACCTAACAGAGGCAGAAGAGATTAAGAAGAGATGGCAAAACTACACAGAAGAACTATACAAGAATGAGCTTAACATCCCAGATAACCACAATGAGATGGTCACTGACCTCGAACCAGACATCCTAGAATGTGAAGTGAAATGGGCCTTAGAAAATCTGAGCAACAACAAAGCTAGTGAGGTGACAGTATTCCAGCTGAGCTATTCAAAATCTTAAAAGACGATGCAGTAAAAGTGCTACACTCAATTTGCCAGCAAATTTGGAAAACTCAACAGTGGCCACAGGATTGGAAAAGGTCAGTTTACATTCCAATTCCAAAGAAAGGCAATGCCAAAGAATGTTCAAACTATCGCACCATTGCACTCATTTCACATGCTAGTAAAGTTATGCTTAAAATCCTACAAGCTAGACTCCAGCAGTATGTGGATCGAGAACTACCAGAAGTACAGGCAGGATTTCGAAGAGGCAGAGGAACTAGAGATCAAATTGCCAACATACGCTGGATCATGGAGAAAGCTAGGGAGTTCCAGAAAAACATCTACTTCTGCTTCATTGACTATGCAAAAGCCTTTGATTGTGTGGATCACAACAAATTGTGGCAAGTTCTTAAAGAGATGGGAATACCAGACCATCTTATTTGTCTCTTGAGAAACCTATATGCGGGTCAAGAAGCAACAGTGAGAACTGGACACGGAACCACTGATTGGTTCAAAATTGGAAAAGGAGTCCAGCAAGGCTGTATACTGTCACCCTGCCTATTTAACTTATATGCAGAGCACATCATGAGAAAGGCAGGGCTAGATGAAACAAAAGTTGGAATTAAGACTGCCGGGAGAAATATCAACAACCTAAGATATGCAGATGATACCACTCTAATGGCAGAAAGTGAAGAGGAACTAAAGAGCCTCTTGATGCAGTTGAAGAAGGAGAGTGCAAAAGTTGGCTTGAAACTCAACATTAAGAAAGTGACAGATTTTATTTTTCTGGGCTCCAAGATCATCTCAGATGGGGACTGCAGCCAAGAAATTAAAAGACGCTTGCTCCTGGGGAGGAAAGCTATGGCAAATCTAGACAGCATACTAAAAAGCAGAGACATCACCCTGCCAACAAAAATGCATATAGTCCAGGCCATGGTTTTCCCAGTTGCAATGTATGGCTGTGAAAGTTGGACCATAAGAAAGGCTGAGCGCCAAAGAATTGAGGCCTTTGAACTATGGTGCTGGAGAAGACTCCTGCGAGTCCCTTGGACTGCAAGGCGTTCAAACCGGTCAGTCCTAGAAGAGATCAACCCCGACTGCTCTTTAGAAGGCCAGATCCTGAAGTTGAAACTCAAATACTTTGGCCACCTAAGGAGAAGGAAGGACTCACTGGAGAAGTTCTAATGCTGGGAAAGATTGAGGGCAATAAAAGAAGGGGACGACAGAGAATGAGATGGCTGGATGGAGTCACTGAAGCAGTAGGTGTGAACTTAAATGGACTCCAGAAGATGGTAGAGGACAGGAAGACCTGGAGGAACATTGTCCATGGTGTCACGATGGGTCAGACACGAGTTCACAATTAAGAACAACAACAACAACAACAACAACAAGTGCTTCAGGTTCAGATGGAGAACAGAAGAAATAGCATCCTCCATAGAGCGATTTGGTCAGTAGGCAAACAGAAGCAGGTCAAATGCTGGTGGGAAGCTAGATACAATAGTGTCCTTTATCAGTTTCTCAAAGCATTTCATGATGGTGGATGTCAGTGCAACTGGACGGTAATCATTGAGGCCTGTAATTGTGGACTTTTTTGGCACTGGCAAGATGATGGCCGTCTTAAAACATGATGGGACCACTGCCTGTTGCAATCAGAGGTTGAAAATATCTGTGAGAACACAAACCAGCTCTTCTACGCATTCCCTGAGGACACATCCGGGGATGTTATCTGATCCTGCTGCTTTCCGAATGTTAACTGTCTACAGTGTTTTCTGGACAGAGATGACATCAAAGCTTGGCACTTGCTCATCAGGATGGGGCACTGCTTTCCTAGCAGGAATGCTGTTTGATGCCTCAAATCTACAAAAAAATGCATTCAGTTTGTTTAGTCTGTGTAATCCTTGCATCTCGATGGAGCCACCTTGTAATCCATAATGGCCTGGATCCCTTGCCACATTCGCCTGGTGTTTGTTGGGTCCTGAAAAAAGTTCTGAATTTTCTGGCAATGGGATTGCTTTGCACCTTTTATGGCATTTTTCTGATTTGCTCTGGCTGTTCTAAGTGCCAGCATGTCACCAGATTTAAAAGCCACATTCTGTGCTTTCAGCATTTTACAAGGTGTCCACAGGAAAGGGGGGGGGAATCAAGATGGCAACTGCAACTGTTCAATCAGTACTACACAGGATTAATGAATGAAAACAAACTAATTGAAAAAAATGGTGCATCAACTAAATTTTGAACTGTTGTAAAAAAAATAATCACTTGCAGAAATAATACATACTATTATTGCAAAGTTATCCATAAAATTCATATTAAAAATAAATACTTTGATTTATCTAAAGAAAAAAAAATCCACAATCCACTTACCACATTTATATTGTTTTGATTAAAACCCACAACAGAGAAAATTATTTGGATGCAAATCTTGTTTATTTCTGGGTAGCTGCATAGATGGGCATTGATGTTTTTTGCTCTGTTGCTTAGAAGACGAAAGTCTTTATTGCCCCATAAATACTGCCAAATACAAATACAAATATATTGCAAATTTCTATAGAAGCACCTCTAACTGAATAGTTTCTTATCAGTTCCTCATTTAATTCAGCCATTGATTCTCTGCATTATTTTAACAATATTTTGAAATACATGCAATCTTTCTTTATTCCTTACTTATGGGATTTACCCTCTATAATTAGTGGGTATTAATTACAACATTCATTAATATAAAGCATGCCAACAACCACTTCATCCATGACAAAAAACAACAATACAATAATGCAATAGATGAAGCCTAACATACACAAAACTGTTACTATGATAACAACTCATAATTCAAAGGTTTTTTAAAAAAGTTATATTTTTAAGGGACAAATCAAATTTCTGTGGCAAAGCTAACATGTAGGATCACTACCCAAAACCAAGACTTGTAAAATCTGCTCTCCTCACTTTTTGAACATGGGGAACTGCAAATAGGTTTTCTGGAGTGAGAATAAATTCCTAGTCTGATCCAGGATTTGAAAAGAACACAGGAAAATTGCTGGAAGCAGAGATAAAATTTATTCAACAGCAAAATAGCAAGAGAGTTAGCAATCAAAGAAGGCCGTCACAAAGAAAAACTAGTTACTTTTATAGAGTGTCTTTTGTTCCTAGGAAGTACATGAATTTAGCCTGCTTTCTAAGGATTATTAGAGGGTGCACCAGGTTCGGTACAGAGGAAATGCAGTTTCCTGCACTTCAAAGTTTTGTAATCTTTATTTTTTGTAAGTCAAGGTGATGACCTCTGGGTGATGGATTAGAGTAGGAAAGCCTATTATGGGTGTGAGAAATTTTCATTTCTAAAGGGCATTCTCCCTAGTTTTTAATTAAGTTGTGGATATTTGTCAATATTTTATCTAAAGATGTGCTTAGTCAATTTCATCCTACCTAGGTGTTAGAATCAATGAAAAAGCTTAAGCAGGCCTTTCTTTTATTGTCTGGGGTTCGCTGGTAGGTCAGGGATGGATGGCATAAATGAGTGGCATGGAGGGTTTTTCTTTTCACACTGGGATACATGTATTAGGTAGGTTAAAACCTGTAGGAGGATGCAGAGCAAAACTTTTAAAGAAAACGTGATGCTTATCCTTTCTCATTTCTATTTGTTTAATCAGTTTTATCAAATCATTTTAGAAGAGAAAGTGAAGTTAAACCCTGTAATTGTATCAAGCAAATGTGACATACACTGAGGGGGTACAGGAAATAGATATTTTTAAAAACTGAAAAATAACTGGAGGTGAATGAAAAAATGGCCTTTTAAAAATTTTTACACTATTTATGGAAACAGCAGACTGGTTTCTAAATGTTTTCCAGGAATTATTCAAGAATTTGGGAATTATAAGTTGGAGAGTTTTTTTAAAGATAAAAAAAATCTTCTCAAAATTTCATCCTAAGTGAAAATGTATTGTCCAATCAGAGTAGATGAAACAACTAACTTAAAAAACTGGACAGAAAAAAAAATAAAATAAATACAAGTCTGTTTCTTCAGCAGTACTTCTTTTAAAAAACAAATATTGTGTATGTAGCTTCATGTGAAATTCTCCACCATCCTTATAAACGATAAAATAAGGAAAGCAACATTTTGCTAAATATTCTGTCAATGAACATCTCTAATAATGTAGGAGGGACCCTTTAAAAGCAAGCATTTGTACAAAACAAAATTAGTTTTAAAAAATTATGTCCAGTTTTGTAGTCACATTTATGCTCATTACATAAATGTGACTACACATTACATACACATTTATGCTCATTACATCTTAGGCAAAATGAGGAACAGAAGTAATTTTTTGTGTTTAAGTGCAGAAAAAAAAATCCATACAAATTCTGAGAAAAAAAGGAGTTGAATATTAAATAGATATTTAAACCCTACTTCCAAATTATATGAACTGCAGGAGATGATAATATACAGGGCTTTTTTTCTCATAGAATGCCCAGAACGGAGTTCTGGCACTTTTTTGGATGGAACCTTGTAGGCAAGGCAGGTTGTCTGACTTGTGTGAGTTCTGGCACCTTTTTCTTTTTAGAGAAAAAGCACTGATAATATATATTTCTATACTGAATCAAATAGCATAAGAATGTAAACCTATGGGAAATACCTACCCTTTTAACTTTGTAGGGAAGTTGTAAAATATATTTTGCTGGTCCCTTGAGGTCCTTCATTGTGTAGGGAGGTGCAAGGCATACTAAAAGTTTCGTTTTCAGAGCAAGCTGTGGAAAGGCTGAAAAAGTAATAAGACCTGAAAGAAAGATAAGTTTTAAAAAATTGAAAGTCAAGCTAAATGTAGAGTAAAACATGGTGTCAGTATTTGTATTGATATTTATTAATTTTTTTAATGTTTTATTGATTTTTAACAATTTCAATCTTTAATGCTTAGTTGTAAAGCTCCGCGGGCTTGACACTAACCGGGAGGGGGGAGGGGCACGGGTGCATCTGGAGGCAGCAGCAGTAACAGCCCTCCCCCCTTCACCTAGTTGTTGACTGGGTGGGCGTTTGAAGTGCAGCAATCGTCGAGGAGCCGGTAGCTGACTGGCTGTCATGATGGTGAATGGCTGGCAGTCACAAATTTCCAGGTTTTACCAGCTCAGCTGTTCAGTACTCTGCTGAACAGCTGATCAGTACAGAGAAATGGTGGGGACTTTGAAATCAGCCCTCACTTGCTTTGCTGCCTTGCTGCCCTGGACCAAAGCCCAAGCCAGGCTGACTGCTAAGAGCAGGGGCCAGCTGGGAGCTCACAATCATCATTCTGGATGCTGGTTAGGTAGGTGGGGGTGGGCCTGGGTGGGATCCATCTATTTAGTGCACTGGGAGGCAGTTGCTCCCAGCGCTGACTTTGTTTGCAACTGCTTTGAGCTCGCAAGCCAGAGTGTACCCGAATAAACCTGGTTTCCTTTGATCCCAATGTCCTGTTTTCTTTTGGGCTTAGGTCTGTGGTTGGGACCTCTGATAACATGTTGTCTGGATTCACATATTTAACATTAACTTCTTCAATATAAATCTGTTCAGTATTGCACAATCCAGTGTTTTTTCTCTGATCCTCTTTTCCTCCCCATATTTTTTTCCATTTTCCACTCATTACACAATTACAATTCTTGCTATTGTTGATGCATGCAAAGTTAAATATAAATATCCTATTTTATTATTATACAAATAATAATATCAATTCATAAATCAATATCCTGTTTTTCATGCTCTTATTAAAGTTTGATTTTCCATCAATATTTGAAATATCTTTGTCAGATTTTTTCAATATTAATTACATTTATATAGCTAAGAGTTTTGTTCATACCAACCATCCTCTTATTTTCATATTTCCCATATCAAAAAAGAAAAAAAATGCTATTTTAATTCTAAATCATACCTTTTATTATAAAAGTCTAATTATATCTAAGGGTCATCTGTTAATCACATTCAAACAGATATTTAATCATATAATGCCCCCTCTAATAGGCCAAATATTCTGTTTTTTAAGTCTAACTCTCACTTTCTTTCTTTGCCAAGTAGCTTTCCAAGCCAAAGCAATTAAATCGCCCAGGAATTTTCTTTCTATTTTTGTAAAAAATTGCTTGGCATGAGGAAGACAATTTAGGTAGGGTATTTTTTGGGGGGGGGGAATTCCGCCCATTTATATTATTTAAGCAACTCCACTGTCCTTCTCTCTCAATTTCTCTTTTCTTTTTTTGTCTCCCAGGTTGTGTCATTTCCCCTGACATTTATATTCCATTTTTGAAGATCTTCTTCCTTATCATCAGATATATTTTGCAGACTTAAGGGGTAAAGTGCCTTTTCCTTTTTTGTGTTATGGCTAAGTCTTACAGTATTTTATTTGTATATGGTAATTTATATGTCCCTACTTTTATCTCTTCCATCACTGGGTCAATTTCCTCTGCTTCATCTTCTGATTTCTGGTTTATTTGTTCATACTTTGTAGTCATTGTCTGAGAATTTTCTAGCTGTAGATTTAATTTGGAGATTTGCTCATTTATATTATCTAAATTATTTTTAGTCTCATTATGATTCCTTTTTGTGTCTTCTTTGTGTGCAACAATTGTTGGGTGAATTAGTTGTAGCATAGGGTATGTTTCCTTCTAAAAGGTGTTTATTTTTTCTTGAGGCATCATTCTTGGAGATCCTTGATTTGCCTGGATGGGGGCTTCAAATGGAGGTACAAGGTATATTTTCTTACCACTTTTAGCTGGGTATAAAACATCCATTTTTGTTTCCCCCCTCCAGATAGTCTGTCAAAACTTTTATGATTAGTGTTACCAATCTTAATAAGAGTAGAACAAAGTTTCATCTAGTTTGTGGTCTTAATGTGTAGCCTTTATAGTCCAATAGGTTCCAGAATATGGGTCCAGTCCTAAAAGCACTATTTTGTAGTGATTCTTTGTTTCAGGCATCCAAGAATTGTGAATCAGGCAAAGTTGTAATTCACAATATTCAAAGTGTTCAAAATGTTCAACCATCCTGAAAGCAGTTCAAAAGTCTCTCCCTGCCAGACATAGTCAAAAGACAATTTTTTCTTTCTCTCCCAGTAGTTCTGAGCTTGGAAAAATCCAAGCTTAGTAGGTATTTATAGTACAAGAAGGTCAGGGTGATAAGTATGCCAAAATATTTTCCTTTATTGCCAGCTCTTCTCCATTAAGCTACGAGTCACCAAGCAGCCAAGCAGCCAGGAAGCTAGTTATGGTGCTATACTCAAATCCACCACTAGATGTCATTCAAAATCCATTTTCCATTCTTAAGACAAAGGGCTGATTTTTTTATATTTCATCTCAATGTTTTTTTCCTCAAAGAGAAAATGTTAACAATTATCTCAGTTCTCAAATTTGTCAAAACTGTAGCTTTATGTTACTTCCATTTCAGATTTCTGTCTCCCATAAAAGAAATTAAAATGCCACTTCTGTTCTTCTGGAAGGGTGGGGCTAGAATCCCCTTCCTTCTCACGTTTGGAGGTTTTTAGCTTCTTGGGAGTCTTTCCCAGGAAATTCAGTTGTAAAATAGTAAAGAAAGAATCTATATTCTCACCCAGTTCCAAACATGCCGTTTACGATCTGCTAATTGGTGCTTTTCTTCTTCAGTTGTCAGTGGCTAGTGGCTGGCCACAGGAATGTAGCCAGTCCTTCTCCTGCCAGTTTGGAGGGCTTTCTTCGGATCGAATGGAAAGACCGCCATCTCTCCATGATCGATGAGGCACCCTCCTTCTTCACTGCCTCTTCAGGGTGACTTTAGGGCCTTTTAGGGTCCCAGTAGGGTGAAACTGGGCGCAGAAGGCCAAACCGGAAGCCCCTGTATTTGTATTGATATTTAAGAGACGGTGTTTGCTATACTTGTTTTGTTTCAAGATTGATAGATACATAAAGGATAAACTTGCAAGAAAGTGTCAGCTATCCTCCTCCTCTTCCTCCTCCTCCTGATCTTATTGTTGTTTTTATAAAAGTGACTTTCTTTTCTGTGCAGCAGAATATCCAAATTGGATTGATTTACTTTGAAGATTGAAGATTGGGAATGTGAAGGAATTCTGGATTAGAAGAGTTGTGAATTAATGGGATATAACTAAAATAGGACAGGGTTGGAAAGGTGAGATATTTGCTCTTAGACAATCGATAGAGAGAAGGCTAATAAAAGGATATGAGAAGGCTTTGCTTGCACCCATGTATCTCATAGTTAAATGCTAAAGATAATCTCATTATCTTCAGCAAGGACCAAGGGCCACCAAATTCTATTTGGTTGGGTGGTTAATATCAGAAGACCAAATGCAATGTTTGTGATTAGTCTCACAAAGCTATCCACATTTTGCCTAACTCAAAGGTTAAATTTTCAATCCCCATCCTTTCCCTACATTTCTGCCATGCCTCTAATAGGCCCTAAAGCCTATATTCATGACTGGCTTAGTTTCTTCACTACTGCAGCATCTTTCAGGGGGAAAAAGAGAAAGAAAGAAATCAGTTATTTGCATTTATCATTTTCTCTAACTCTGTTCCCTGTCTATGTTTCAAGAATTCAAGACAGACTTCTTCCTGTCAAGAGACTATTATATTTTAACCTCTGGCATATTCTTTTGGGCATATATTTCACAATAGATTAGTAAATATATTATTGATCATTAAACAGCTATGATTCCATAATACATTAATTATTGACTGATGCAAAGAAAGATGCAAAGATGAAATATGATTATCATTCTTAACTTACCCAATGAAGCTCCTTGAGAATGACCAATGTAATATAAACTATCCTGCTTTGTCTTATGTAGTATAAAGTTTATAGTTGCAGGAATATCATAAATTGCCATTTCATGAAAACTGTAATAGAGGGACACAAGCAAAGGCACAAAATACTGTTGAGATTTATTTTGGTTAAGGGTAAAAAAAATCAGAAGCCTGTAAGGTTTTTTTTTTTATCTTGCCTTTATTGTTTTTTAAAAAATAATTTAAGATGGTGAACTCCTTCCTCTTCTTATTTTGCAATATCAACTACTACTACTACAACTCAAGTTGGGTTGAGAGAGAATGACTGGCCCAAAGTCACTCAGCCAGCTTTCATGGCTAAGGTGGGATTGAATCTCCTGGTTTCTGACCTGTTTGTATTGCATAGACAGCATAGGAGTGAAGAAAACTAATTTTTAATTACATGTTTGGCACTTTACTTAAACTAACCCCATTAGATTTGCAAAGTAGTAGCTGTTTTTTTAATTGTTTCATTATCAAATTGCTCATTTGTTAAAATGATACATGGCAGAGTCTTCCTTATGCTACACTTTAGCAAAAACTGAGGGCTCTAAATTCTCCATGCTGTATAGGATTTGCCTTAATAATTAAGAACAAGTCAGGGATCAGTCTTACTTCCATTTAAGATATTGTACTCTCTTCTGTTCTCTCTCCTTCCTCATTTTCTATTTGCTTTGCCAGAATTTTGTAATTGAGTTTGTTGAACCTGTATGAATTTTTTTCTGTTTATTTCTCTTAATCTGTTTCTTCCTAAAAATGTACTTCTTCAAACAGCTAATTTTTTTAGGCACACCTTCCTCTTTTGTATACATGATGCAATTTTGGCTTCATAGAATTTATTGTGGTCTTTCAAACCAACTTTGACTACTGATGACTACAGCTAGTCCTTGACTTATGACCACAATTGAGCCCAAAATTGAGACATTTGTTAAGTGAATTTTGCCCGATTTTATCACCTTTCTTGACACAGTTGTTAAGTGAATCGCTGCAATAATTAAATTAGTAATACAAGTGTTAAGTGAACCTAGCTTCTACATTGACTTTGTTTGTCAGAAGGTTATAAAAGGTGATCACATGACCCCAGGATCCTGCAGCCATCATAAATATGAGTCAGTTGCCAAGTGTCTGAATTTTGATCAAATACCCTTGGGGATCAAAGGTTGTAATGTGCAAAATGGTTATAAGTCACTTTTTTCAGTGTTGTAACATCAAACGGTCACTAAACATACTGTTGTAACTGTTGAGGACTACTTGTACATGGACCATTTTCTTTGCAACAGTTCACAAGTGATTTCCCATTAACTTCTTCCCAGTGGACTTTTGTGCCTAAGGAAGAACTAGAACTCATGATCTTCCAACTTCTAGTCCAGAGCTGTTCATCCCTAAACCAAGCTGCGTCTCATATACTAATTGCAATTTAATATTTCATTTGCTATTAATATACATTAAAGTTTAATTTATTGGCACTAGGAGGCAAAGTGCTCCCATGCATTTTGATCTTCATAGCACCTGGAACACCTTTTCCTTTCCTGGGAAAAAATGCAGGCACGTGCAATGCAGATACTTTAAAGTGTTGCAGATAGGCAGTACATCCACATTCTGCATGCTTCAAATGACATTTTAATGATAAAGTCTGGATTACTGATAAACCTTAATGAATAACTGATATTGAAACTGGAGGAAAATATCTTTATGTTCTGATGGGCTCCCTAAATTAGTGTCATAAATCCAATGAATTTGATAATTCATTATGAATATATAATACAATCTGAAAAGTTACTAAAGGATACATCTCTCATTCTACAAAACCTGACCCATTTCTCTGGCAAAAAACTGCTTTTATTTATTTACTATATAAGCTGATCTGAGTTTACCTAAAATTCCAGAATTCTTCTTGGTCAATTGTTAAATTCTGATGTCTTCTAGACCAGGTAGTTCCTCTGTTATTTATTATCCAAACATCATAGCCAGCATCTGCTAAAACAAATCCCAGGCTATTTCTGGGAAGATTGATGAGCCAACTTCTTCCTTCAGTCACAAAACCAGATACCAGTAACACAGCTGGTTTAGGCCCTTGAAAATAAGCAATCTTAAATATTATATCATTTAAGGATCATTCTAATAAGGAACATTGTCTTTTTATATACATGGAACATCACAATTCTATCTTTATAATATCTATGAAACCTTGAGGCTGAATATGAGCATAAATGTATGAAGGCTGAATGAAAAGTAATGCTTGCAATTTTATAAATTGCCAATAGATGGCTAGAAGCTCAGATGTATTCTTTAGTACCTATTGTTTCACTTCAGTTATTGGAAAGTTGTTATGAGAAAAGTTAATGTTGCTATTGTTTGTGCAATGGAAGCCTTAGTGAGATTCTTCAGTACATTTTAAGCAACGTGCCGTGACTAAATTTTTAACTGCCAAAGGAGTCTGTTCAAATGAGATTAATAGTTGATTGCAGGTTGTTTATGATGATGACTATACTGACAGGAGCAATGTGCATGGATCAAAAAAAAAAATACAAAGATGGCAAATAATAAAGAACTTATTTGCATGAGCCAGAGCAAAGTGAACTTGTGACTTTCAAGTGAGAAAAAATTAATAAAGTGGTTAAGGACAATCAGCAGATCACTTAAAACTTGGGATTTCACAGGAAATCATACATCTGGTCATATTATTGATATTCTTCAACATTAGACAGTTTGTGCAGGATGGGTTTTTCACATGCTGAACACAGAGGTGAAAGCTTCAGCAGTTGAAATTTGCGAGCAGTTGTCATGTTGTGGGGCTCACTATATTACCCAAACAAGATTAGTCCAGGAAATATGATCACAAAGTTTCACCTGCAGGGAAAAAGGATGGATGTTCTGCCCCAGACAGAACAGACGGCTTTAGTCCCATCCAGGACAGACATATAACTCAGAGGAATAAATAGAAAGTATTGCTTTACTTCTGGGAATCCTAAACAATAACTCACTGTTATCTAGAGATACATCCAGAAGCGTATTTAGTGGCATTGGTTCATTCCACAGGTAATTTGATTATGGATTTTCCCCTCTTCTTCTGCATAAGCATCACATGTTGGCATAGGACCTCCAAGCCATGTGGCTAGGAGACATGAGGCTGGATGAAACAAAGGAAACTTCCCCAACAGGGTTGTGGCTAGGATATCCTCTAATATACTTTGGTGCCTCCTCCCACTGACCTACTAACATGATAGGACTGACTAGCTGAAACTACCTTACCCATAAGCCATCTCTTAAGGAGACAGCACTTAACCCAATAAATGCCAAACATTCTTACGTACAAATCTACATGCTCTAGTCAGGGTTACATAGAGTTACATGATCCAGAATAATGGAAGGAATACTTTTGTGGACATCTCTATCTGATTCAAATGAAGAATTGGAAAGGACTATTATAGGATCTGGTTGAAGAAACAAAATGTGGAGGTCTTTTCTGTATGTTTTAAGAAACTTGTCTTTTATTGGCAGGAGTATTTGATGATTATGTGGAGAAATAAGTACATGGTATTAAGGTACATTTCAAGGATTTTCCCCTTTCTTGTTCATGAAAATATCCTATTTAAACTACAACTAGGTGAACACATTACTTTTCATTCAACCCTTACATACCATTCACAGAGGAGCTTACAATGGAATTGAGCTCAAGTAGAGGTCACAATAAAAATAATCTATAACAAAATATGCTGTAAAAAGTGCTGTTTAGAAGTTAGAAAATAGGAACAGCTGTTTCAGTCATTGCAAAATAATCAGATTGTGAAGCAAGACCAAAAGCAGTGATAATATCTCTAGGAAAGAATTCCAAAAATGGAGAGGACCTTAGTGCCACCCAAACCCACAAAACAAAATGCAGTAGGACCTCCCTAGCTAATTGTAAGTAATATATTATTCAATAGTCAATGTTCAATACTAAATTGGTGCTAGATAAGAATCAGTGGAATTCAAGAGGTGTTAGGCTGTGGAAATCTAATGATTCTAAGCTAATGACTCACTTAATTCTGCTTTCTGGCTCTTCCTGCTGTTCTTTTTCACATGCATACAAACAAACAAAACAAAACATACAAACAAAACTATTCCATGGAGATGTATTCTGAAAATGAAGTAACTGAAATACAGCATCTATAGGGTCTTCGTGCTTTCATCAGGATAAAGCATGTTTTTCCCTCTATGTGGATACTCCCTTGTCATGGAAGAAGAGCTTGTGTGTTCTATTAAGGTTGAAAGCTATGCTGGGTGTATCCCACCAGAAAGTATACTGGAAAGCCAAATAGGTCTCAGCTGAGGAACCAGACTAAGAGTAGCCACAAACCCATTAACTATGATAAGACAACAGAAAAAGAATCTCATACCAGGTTAACAAGGACTGTGGCAGTTGCTGTCCCTGGGCAGCTGTTGAAAAGTGAGTTACTGGGTTGGAGAAAACATTCTCCAAGAAAATTTCATGAAAAAGGTTTCAAACATGTCAGATAGGGTGCCCAATGGACAGGAATCCAAGATGCTAACATAGCCAGTGACATAAACAAATATCTGCATTATACAGAGATAGATTGGATAGCCATGTGAAATGTCAAAGGAATGAGCCAGGAAAATTAAATATTGTCAAAGATAATCAGGTTGGAAATTGATATCCTGGATGTCAATGAACTACACTGGTTGGACAATGGCTTTTTGCAATCTGAGAACTTCATTGTCTATTATTCAGGACATAATACAGGAAAACAAATGGAGTAGTCTTTATTGTAAGCAAGAAACTAGAGCAGTGAAAAGCTTCTTAAAAAGTCAGTGACTGAAAAATAACCATCAGAATTTACATCAAGCCACTCAGCATCACAATTATCCAAATCTATGCCCCAATGACTGCTGCAACAGAGCTTGAAATAGAGGGATTTTATGCTATGGTCCAAGAAACTATGGAACAAGTTCAAAAATACATAGTTTACATTCTGAGCGACTTCAGTGCAAATGTCTGCAAACAAGTGGAGACAGGAATCACTGGTCATTTGGATTAATGACAGATTAAGTTCTAATAGAAGGATACCAAATTAAATATACCAGAATATAATTAAAGGACATCAGACCTGACCTTGTCCACACTATTCCTTCTCTTTCTTATATTTTTACTTCTCATTTCATGACATTGAAAACGTTTTTCCCTGACTGCCTGACTTGTATTAGTACAGTGAATCTAGCAGACATTTGCCTTAGAAATATAACCATACTAATAATTCATCTCCAAAATACCTGTCTTTTCAGGACTGTGTATTCCATTAGGAATTCTGTTTGCTTTGAGATAATAGCCGTCACTTGTCAGGATTTCATACTCTTCACTAGGGTATCCCCAATACTGAATGATTTCACTCTGCAGAAAAAAAATGAATCAACAATGCCTTGAAAAAGCTAAGTAGTATTCAGGAGCATTACTACTCTAACTATTCATAATGTGACAAATGTTTTTTTTTTAAAAATAACTGGTCGCTATCTAAGTATTGTCTCTGTTTTTTTACTAGATGAAAGTACTCCTTCTCTTCCTTGCCCAATACTTTCCCATTATGTAGAAATAGGAAGGTATAATCTAATGTTTTTCAAACTTGGCAACTTGTACATGTATGAACCTTCCCACGGTGGCTGGGGACTTCTGGAAGCTGAAGTCCACATATCTTAAATACTGGTATAATTTTTCCCTTTGTGCACAGTGGGATCTCCCTGAACTAGAAGATAATGCCAAGCCAGCAACATATTTTCTATACTCCAAAGTAGTTGTGCCCTGTCTAGCTAAACATAAAGTGTTTGGATAGATAGGGCAGACAATTTTGTTTTCACAAACAGAATTGTAAAAGAAACACAATTTACAGTGGGTGTTTCAGTACTATTGCCATGATGATGATATGCCCTTTTAAGATGGTCAGTATGATTTAATCAAGTAGCATGGTTGCCTAGTGGTGAAGACACTCACTTCCCCACTCGAAAGTTTGAGAGTTCAATCTTAGGTAGTGGCGGATGTTTGGAAAAAATATCTGCTGTGAACTCTGTGTGGCGTCAGGAAGGACATCCAGACAATGTAAGGACCCACCCCACTTTGCATCTTAAGAAGACAGAACTCTTGGAATAATTCTTCCAACAGGAATCCTTTATTAAGAGAAAATGGTTGCAGGCGTTCTAGACAGGACTTCGGTCCAAGCTCTCCCATTCAAGGTTTTAAGGGGTTTCCCAGTAGCCCCACCCAATCCCCCCCTACTTCCAGTAACAGTCTCAGGCATTACATTTCCCACCCCTTTTCCTTACTGCCGGCTGGATGGAGACTTCAGAGAAAACTACATGAAAGGTAATTAGCCCCCTTTGTTATGATTAGGCCTTTTTGGTGCTATCCACATTCAATCCCTTTGAAGTTGTACCGAAGGAAGTGAGGGCCATAAAGCCCCTTTGTTCCCCCCCTTCCCTTCCTTGTATGACAGAATCCAGAGAAGGCAGAAATGGGGTTTTCTATAATTGATAACTAGAGATGAAATATAATTGGATTCTGACAGACAATAAACACTTAGCTCCATCCAGTCACCCTGAATCTACCCTGAATTAAGGGATTACATTCATATGTTGTGGAGACTATAACATGCTGGGATTAAATGGTTTCAAAAGCAGTAATAGAGCATTGATTATGTATCTTGCAAAAGAGCCAGTTTGGTGTAGTGCTTAAGGTGTTTAAGGGCCATAAAAAGAAGGGCTTTTTTTAGTGTTAGTTACTCAATTAATCTGGAAATGGAAGTTGAATAATACATTTCAAAACTGTCTCCCAAAATAACCAAAAAGTCAGGAACTTCTGTCAATTCAATTCTTTTTCTTAAGAATCTGGCTGAATAAATCATGAGGACCCCTTCCTCTTTACTACCACCTAGATGAGCAATTTACTATGTTCATCCAATGTTCAGGATTCAAATGTCTTCCATTTATAGATTTTTCTGAGGTCACTTCTTGTTGGATTAAGCATATCACCACCCAAACCAGCCACATTGTGGGTCTCTGCAAAGCAAGAACATGCAGATCAGTTGTAAAGCTTTGTCAGTAAAAGTCCTTTTCAATACAAGCCCTCTAACTAATCAATTAATAGAGCAGAAAAATCAAACTACCATCTTAATTGATCTTTGCATAAGTACAAAGAAACCATCAAAGGGCTTATAAAAATAATGTCTGTGATCCAAACCAACAAAATAATATTGCAATGCCATTTGTTTATTGTATCTTATTTAGATAAGAGATGCATAACAGCTTTTTAAGGACCAATAGCAGGGAAGTGTTCTTCACAGTCATTGGGAGCCCAATACAATGAATAATATAAATAAATTCCAATCAAGAAAGTGGATCTGAATTTAAGTATTAATAGAAATGAAAGGCTGATCAGGTGACTGTGATGGGCTTACAACTCCATTTTCCTTTGGTCATTAAGCAAATCACTATGGTTTTAAAGCAAGACATCATGTGAACATGATATACAATTTTATTTCTGCTTTCTCTATTAACTCTACTTGTCATAAGCCAGTTATGAAGCACTTGAATGTTAGACTCATGGTCATGAAATACCACAATGCCACTGTGATACTCATAAAGGCATTCTGCAAGGATCGGTAGCAAAACTATTTTCTTTTTACAGTGTTGTAGCTTTAATCACTAAACAAGGTAGTAGGTAAGTAAGGACTACTTGTACGCTAATTAAATGTTACATTTCTGGGCTAATCCTACCATCATGGCAAAATAATGCAACAAAATGCAAAGATTGTTTTATTACTCTAAAGTTTGGAGGTTACGAGTCACTGCTCTCTTTCAATTAAAAAATCCCAGGACCTAGAGATGTGAGTTTACATAGCTCTCACATAATATTGTTATATTGATTGTATGGAATGTATTTATTACAGTTTGAATATGTGCACATACTAGCAGCAGATCCCCAATACAGAATCAATTGCTTTATAATAAGGTGACCAACTTTTTTACAATGAAAAGGAGGACACAAATAAATTGAAGAAAAAAATATCGTAAAAGCTGGCTCAGCCCATGGAAGGTCAACCGCCTGCTGCGCCCCCACCCACAGCTGCCCTGCCAGCACCGCTGCACCACTGTGTGGAGCGGGCCCCGCGGCTCCCAAAGCACCAGCCGCGCAAGTTCCGGTCCTGGGGGGCAGCCCGCCATCAACCCTGCACAGCCCCGTGTAGAGAGCGCCCCGCGGCTCCCACAGCACAGTATCTTCGGAACTAACTAGGAGATGGTGTAGTTGGTTAGCAGGCAGGGGTGCTAAATTCCTGCCAATTCGCCTTCGCTGCAGACAACTTGCATGTGCAAAGTTTGCCGGTTGGGTGTTTTGGCGTGCTCAGCAGCAATTCCTATTGGCTTTCGAAAGTCAATAGTGGGAGTAGCACAGCTCATGCAAAAGTTGAAAAAAAAAATCAAAAAAAGGTGCTGGAATGCCGTTCTGAGCGTTCTATGAGAAAAAAAAAGCCCTGCAGATTAGTCTTCAAATATCGAAAAGGAGGACATGTAAGAGGACACTTTTCAAGGGAGGACAGAACCTACAAAAGGAGGACTGTCCTCCCTAAAGGAGGACGGTTGGTCACCTTATTTATAAGTGATAAAGACACAAGAAAGTCACAAAGGGAGACATTACAGTATAGACATATAACCAAGTTTTGATATCTTTGTTGAGTTTCTACTGTTATTATAACAGGATGATCCTGTGTTTGATAAGTGGTAGAAATAAGGAGCCCTGATTATAATTAGTACTTAATAGCCCAAAATAAGCAATAATAAAACTCCATTTTTAAGGATGTTACAGGAGAGGCACATCTATGAAGGACATCTATGAAGCCAAAGAAACAATACATACTTACATAAATTAACATACAAATTGATTCAACTTGAGTTTGTAGGAAGTCAGCCCCCCAGAGAAGGAAATATTAAAAGGGCAGAAAAATATATTTCCTAAAAGGATCTTAAAGAGGCAGAAAAGCATGCCCAGTTTTTCTTAATAGCCTCAGGTCTGCTTCCCCCAAGCAGAAACCAGCTCTATAGAAATGCAGATGCAGACCATTCAGGAAAGTTGGAGCTAGAAGCTTAGGAAGACAAAGTCACCTAAAATCTACATACCCCACCCAAAGTCAAAGACAAGACATAATAGGATTAACTCACAGATGCCAAAGGGACACAGGTCAAAATACATGACACAGGAAATACAAAGCCTCAAACAGGAACAGGAAATAACCTCAAAACAAAAGGCTCCAGAGGGTATAAAAACCCACTCCCTAATGTGCTGAGCCCCTTTTTCCTCTTTTCTGCCGAGCCATCTTTCTGTCTGGCTCTCCTCTTCAATAAACTGCAACCTTCTTTCTAAAGCAATGGCCATGTTGTTTATCCCCAGCTTGGACTGAACCATAATGAAGACTTTTCTTCCAACAAGTTGGCACCCCAGAATGGGACTCCAAGCTAATCTCTGCAATGGACTGAGACTGGTAAGCCCCATCTTGCTGGCAGCAGACCCCTTGTGTCTGTGGATGAAGTGGAGCCTGAGTAGTAAAGGGAGTTTTGAGTTTGCGCTCAGGGGCTGCTTTGGAAAGAAGGTGAAGGTGAGTACCTCTAAATTTTAACTTTAAAGCCTAGGGTAACAAAGGAAATGTGTGTATATCTGTGTGTGAGAGTGAGAAGACCCTTTTTTCTCCAATCACAGTTGGATTTTGCTCCTTCTGGTCTTTCCTAACCACAGAAAGGATCTGTTCAAGTGGCAGACCCTGGAAAGCATGGGGGTTTGGCCAGAGCGCAGGACCTTTTGTTAGGGAAAAGGGAGAGGCTATGTGAAAATGGAATGGAATGAGTGAATGAGAGAATTGGATTTGGGCAACCAGCTGGTAAGGCCCTGGAAGCAAAGCCTAGTTCAGAAGGTGCCTGTACTCACTGTGTAGGGGGCAGCAGGTCCTTCCAGATCCGCAAGGGGTCTGAAAACGGTGGCAGGAAAGGAGGTGCTCGTACTCACCTTTTAAAAAAAAAAAAAAAGAGGTGGCAGGTCCTCCTGGACTCACGAGGAGTCTGAAAACCAGTAGTTGGAAAGGAGGTAACAGTACTCACTGCTTTTTTTAAAAAAAGTGGCAGGTCCTCTCAGACTCACTAGGAGTCTGAAAACCATGATAGGTAATTCTCAGGGAAAGATATGAGGGTACTTCATCAGGGAAACAAAGTCCTCCTGGATGCTTTTTGTCCCAAAACCCAGAAGTTTTTTTTCCTTTTGTACCTGACTGAGCCAAAGTGAGCCCCACATCTGAGAGGAAACATGGGAAGCAGCAGTTCAAAGGTGACAAATAGGACTCCCCTAGGAGAATTGTTCAAAATAAAGAGCAAGAGAAATATATTAAAAAATGGACTTTGCTCGAGGCTTTGCTGGGAACCCAATTTAGCTAAATAAAGGTACTTAAAGGGAAAATAAAGTATAAGAAATAGTGATTCTCTCTTCTTCTTCTTCTTCTATACAACCATGTGGTATGTTTAAGATTTGTGCCTTCCCTAACTTGAGTTAACTGAGATTTGTGGTGGGAATGACTAGGATGTGTAGAACTAAAAGTTCTGTTTCCTTTTCTGTTCTCTTGTCTTTGTGTATATATGTGTGTCAAAGTCTTTGTGTGTGAGGTAAATGTGACTGTTAATTGTTTCTAATACAAAGAGAAAAGAATTTTAAAATTCTGCTAGAACTTTTGCTTAAAATAAGCCATCAAAAGAAAAATATCTTGCTCTGTTTGTCTGGCCAACAAACAGAGTGAAGAAAAATATGTTTGTTTGTTTGTTTGTTTTTCTTTTTCCTTTCTCTCTCTGTACTCTTAAGAATAGCCCAAAGTTACCAGGAGGAAATGTTTTAAGTTTATCTGCTGGGAAACCTTTACTGTATGTGTTATAAATGGGTTTTATCTGCCTATCCTTTTCCTGAAACATGAGGTGTGTCTAGCTACAAGAGCCTCCTGAAGCTCAAGTTTGCTTGAGTGGGGAAATAATCTTCTTCTTAAGTTACTTTTTTTTATCCTATCATTAATTGGTGAAATTACTATGAAGCTAATCCTGGAACATATAAGCATTTCTCAATCTCTAAAGTAATGTGGTCTATTTTAGAATAAATGTTAAAGGTAGATCCTCCTGCCCCTGGCAAATTGCACACTTTAAAATATTAGGCTTTTAAAAATTATTTGGATCTTTCAGCATTTTCAAGCTGCCCAGCATTTTTTTTCAAGTTGCAAATCCTTAAGTCTTTAATATGTTACAAATGTCCAGTTCAGAAGTGAGACCTTTTATTTATGTTCTCTTACCAGAATCCAGCCTTTCTTTTGTCCTCACCTGTGATTTCCTCATTTTGTCTGTCTATCTGTTTCTTTAACAAGTGCAGTATTAATGCCTTCTGAAACTCTGCCTGTAAGTTACCCCCCACCCTCATGTACTTCTCCTTTTCTTATCTCTGTTCTCCATTCCTTTGTCTGCCTCTCCTGGGAGAGTCCACCCCGAAAGGGGGGAGGAGCTCTTGTTCTCATGTCTTTCAGCCCTACACAGATGACCCCACCCAACTTTTGGAAGCAGAGCACACTGAACCAGACACTGCCTCCATCCATTTGAGCCATGGAATTGGGTTTTGAATCCAGTCATCCACTAAAAAGCCACCATGCAACCAGAGTGGAATGCATCTTCCCAAGTTCTACCTGCCTGCAAAAGCTGCAAAAGAAGGAAGGAGTCCTGGAGCCATTGGTCCCCTTGTAAAGCCTCAGAAGAAAATTAGGAAGACTATCGGGGGAGAGTGGAAACACATTGTAAGGTTTTCTTTCTTGTCCCATTTGAATTGTAATAAGCCAGTTGAATGTATTTATGGAGTGATGGCATTTGGGAGTAGCTGGCACAGCAAGTCTTGAACACCTTGGATTTCTGTCTAGTGGGAGGGAAAATTTATCCTGGATGGTTGTATTGCCTGTTTGTATTAGTAGCTGCACATACATACATGCACACACACCATTCAGAATCACATTGAGTCTATCTCTTTCACTTACCTTCAGTAAAACTCCAGCCTGATTCTTGCCCTGTGTCATTAAAACTTTGTAGGAACAATTTCCAGCAAATTCCAAGGGGAGAGAAACAGCCCTCCTCAGGTGATTTGCAATTCATATGCCCTGACTGAGGAAGTAGCAGAAAAGATATCTCCAAACCTAAGCCCTGCATATCTTGCATTGGTGGATTCAGATTGGGAGTCCTAGGGCTCATGATGTGCAATTTAAAGAAAATGTAACAGCCTGGCTTGCATACCGGCTAAACTTAATTGGACATTACAAACCTGGATGCACTGAACTAAGCTAAGGCAGGAAACAACCATTGAAAATGGGCAGCCAGTGGTTATGTACTGAGGCAAACCATGGCTGTGAAGAATTTTGGGAGGAATGTGCAAACCTGACTGGAAGCTCAAAGTGACATCCAACATATGAAAATAATTGGCACAGAATATTGGAAACTATAAGTTTCTTTTCCACCTAACAAAATTTTTGCCCTGACTTTTAGAACTTTATGGGTTGGAAGCTCTCCTTTTGGGAGCAGGGATCTTTATCTGCTTGCCTCCATTAGTGTCTTCTTCTTTTTTGACTTAACAATTTAAAGCTTGTTTACCAAGTATCACTGATCAGATCAATTTTAATCTTGTGCCAGTAAAAGTGTGTCAATCACACTATTATGGTACAAAGGGGGATTGTGGGAAGTCAGCCCACCAGAGAAGGAAATATTAAAAGGGCAGAAAAATATATTTCCTCAAAGGATTTTAAAGAGGCAGAAAAGCATGCCCAGTTTTTCTTAATAGCCTCAAGTCTGCCTCCCCCAAGCAGCAACCAGCTCTATAGAAATGCAGATGCAGACCATTCAGGAAAGTTGGAGCTAGAAGCTTAGGAAGACAAAGACGCCTAAAGTCTACATACCCCACCCAAAGTCAAAGACAAGACATAATAGGATTAACTCACAGATGCCAAAGGGACACAGGTCAAAATACATGACACAGGAAATACAAAGCCTCAAACAGGAATAGGAAATAACCTCAAAACAAAAGGCTCCAGGGAGTATAAAAACCCACTCCCTACATGTGCTGAGCCCCTTTTTCCTCTTTTCTGCCAGAGCCATCTTTCTGTCTGGCTGTCCTCTTCAATAAACTGCAACCTTCTTTCTAAAGCAGTGGCCATGTTGTTTATCCCCAGCTTGGACTGAACCATGATGAAGACTTTTCTTCCAATAAGTTCTTACTTAGCTCCCGATGTTATGCATGTAGGCTCAAGAATAACCAGTAATTTCATTCTTGTATGAATTAACTTTCTAATTGCACTACAAAAAAAATTTGGCCAAATATTAAAAATGGAGGAGTTGGCTTTGATATGACTTCATTGAAAATTTGTTTGAATTGTACATTGGTCATGATACACTGAAAAAGGGAAGAGTGATAGTTCCATCTTATGGATATATCTGTGTTTCATAAAAATAAGTGTTTTAAATTTATTATGGGAAATAAAATATAAAATTCATATGGTGTGGACACTATAAAATGCCATTTAGCTTGGATTAAATGGTTTCAAAAGCAATAGATTAGATACAAAGTATCATTAATTAGGTGTCTTACAAAAGAGCCAATTTGGTGTAGTATTAATTTTGTGAATTAGAAACCAGAGGACTGGTTTCACCAGCCTAAGAACAACCCTCCTTATCTTAAGATTGTGCTACTGTTCAATGAATACCTGATGAAAACAATACTGTTTACACCTACACAATTTGGGTTTGTTGCCTAAATAAAGTGCACTTGGGAGCCACCCAGAATTGTCTGAAAGTTGGAGGGATATATAAACATTTTAAACAAACAAACCAAAAAAAGTAGACAATCATTTCCTACTGTGGGAAAAGCCTCTTTAGTCCTAAAACAATGGGAAAGTCTTAACTTGCCACTCAATGTTTAGTCTCTTTGAACATAGCTAAATTTTGTTATACAGCCTGTAAAATTAGACAAATTTTGACAATCTAGTGATGAATCCAATACAAATTGTAACATTTCATTTTGTTTGGTTTTTATTTTTTATTTTTAATGTTTTGTTTGCATATCTGGTAGGGGACTGTAATAAAAATATTGATTTATTAAAGTTCATTTAAAGGGCATCCTTACAAGGAAACTTTGTTAACAAAGTGAGAAACTGCCAGCATTTCCTTGTCCACAAGCAGGCTGGCTATCTCAATGTTTTATCCTTGTTAAAAATGGAATCTTCTGCACTGCTTTTGTTTTACAATAGAGACATATTTTTTCCATTATCTGCAACACATTCCATTTCCTTAAATCTTGTTAATGAATCAAATCCCGCAGATTTCCCACCTCTCAACATCAAAGTTTGTTAGTTTATAATTTTCCTTTCTGTTGTTCAGGGTCCCTTTCCTTGAAAAGCAAGTATCTAATGATCTGGCAATCTCACTTGGTGTTATGCTCTTTCTTGTGGTGAATTTCTACCACATACATGTAAGTGATATTGAAGTTTTAGCACTATATGTAGAACATATATTTTTTAAAAAACTAATGGTAACTAATCACAATTTAACTAGTCATATGTTAATTTTGAAATTGGCCTGGAGGGCTTGGAAAATTGTTATTAGAATAATTGAATGATTATGGGATAGTCACTGTAAATGTACCCTATCTCTCTTTACCCATATTTATATAATGTATTAAAATAAAGAATTTCCAGCAGGAACTAGAAAACATTATTGTTTAGCTATGACTTCTGTTACAGGTAGGGATTTTACTATTTGATCTATGGTATTTGCAATATTTTTATGAAGACACGAGAAGACCCAGGTGGGCTTTCAGATCTTTAGATATCAGTTGTTTTACTTTGAAAGTCCAAACAATATTTTTACCTATAATGTTTTCTCAACTATTGGATTAGCTTTTCATTTTTCATAGTAAATTGTACCAGTTAAAATATGATTTAAATACTAGTGGCATTATTTGTGTAATGTGATTAGATGTGCCTTCATTCTAAAGGATTATACTTCAGGGAATGAATGTTAAGATTCTTTTGGGAAAAACTAATTAACATCTAAAACAGTATTGCAAAATAAAAATATTTCCCCATACAAATTAAGGACAAAAATTAAAGAATGTACTTTACCTTATATTGTTGTGTCGTCTGAAAAAACTTGATACTGAATAGATCCTACAGAAAGCTTGCAATGGAATATAATTTGAATATATATGCAAAAATAGATAGATCATAATTACAAGTTACATAAACAAAAAGATCCGTATACGCCCAATCATAATCCATCACCTGATTACCTGTATTGCAGCTTCAGTAGTCCACAGATTGATTAATGTCTATGGACATTGATTTTTTAGTTGCTCTTTCAGTGTGATCTCTGTCAATAATGTATTCCACCAAACAATTTTAAAGAGCAGGATAAAGAGGCAGAAGTTGAAATGTGAGTCTGATGTAAAGGTCAGATAAATTGGTACTGATGGTCTGACCAAACATTTATGTATTTGTGTAATATATTGTAAAAATTGGAAGGAGAGCAGAAGAGAAGAATCAACAGCCAGATGAATAGACTGTTACAATGCTGATGAGTGTGCCACTGGAAGGTTTGAAGGACAGATTGTTATGGAAAATCATTTTGCAAAGTCATTTTGTGGCACATAAAGGCTGGTCTGATTGCAATGGTGCTTAACTGATCAAAGGCAGATACAGGTTTCATTGTTCTTTTTCCATTCCCATTGTTTCACCTGAATAGTCTTTGAGACCCAGTGTGATATAAATGGTTAAGGTACCAGCCTATAAACCAGGAGCCACTAGTTCTAGTCCTTCCTTTGACATGGAAACCAGTTGGATCACTTTGAATCAGTCACTGACTCTCAGCAGAATTCACTTCATAGGATTGTTGTAGGGAAAATAGGAGGAGGAAAGCGCATTATCTATGTTTGCTACCTTGAATTATATATAAAGTAATAAAGGTGGGATAAAAAAATCTTATAAATAAATAATCAATCAATTTAGAAATCCTAGAGTACGGGTAAAAGAAGGATTTGGGAAAATACAGGTGAGTCACCCTGACACTGACAGCTAATAAAATAGCAGATGGAGATATTCTGAAATCACCCAACAACGTGGCTATTACCAAAACTACAGTTATAGGTAGAAGGATACTCTAATGATATGTTATTAATATATTATTATTACTACCAGAATTGGTAATAGTACTTATCAAAAAGATCTTGAAATAGCAATTCATTGCAAATGGAACATACTGTAAATAGCAATATAATGTGGCTCTTAAAAGTCAAAATATTTTGGGCTGTATTAACATAAGTATGTTTTTTCAAATTATACAAGCTAATTGTTTCACTTTATTCCACTTTGGTCAGTAATGTGTCCAGTTTGAGGACCCTATTTAAAAGGAGGATTTTTAGAAACTAGAATATTCTAGTACTAAGCAGGGTGTTGAATTCAATGGCCTAAACTGTCATGGGCCAGGACTCAGACAATGATTTTAACTTTGAAGAAGAGGTTCCAGCAGAACCTGTGGCCTCAGAAGACATAAAATAAGAACCACATGAGGCTGATTAAAACCAGGCACCATCTGAGTGATGGAACAGTCAGATGAAATGACATAAAGTCTCCCAGCCCCTGCAACTGGTGAGTAAAGATAACACAGCAGATAATTCTTGCCAAACAAAGGAATAAATCTCTTGAACAGTGACAGCTGGCTGCAGCCTGATTTAACAGGAAGCACTGATCCATATTACTTTGCTGGAAAGAACCATCTGATCTCTCGATTTTATATGGTAATTCACGTGAATTCTGCTTCTGGACTGGCTAACAACTCTAACCCAACTCTTGGAACTTTGGACTGATTTTGGACTATTCTTCTGCATGCACCTGTTACAAAGCTCAGAATTTAGGCAGGTGTTTATTAAAGATTCTGTTTATTGCTTTTTAATATTGTTACCTCTTTGATCTTGAATAAATTGTGAATTACATAGCAATTGTGTGTGAGACAGTATTTGAAACTTAAAACAGGCCAGTTTGTTTCCAGCCTCATTAACTCTTGGTTGACTGGAAATTGATATTTTTGATAATGGCCATGCTGCAGAAAAGCAAACAGCATGGAGCAACTTGCATGTAAAGTTTCAAGCTTTGGAAACCAACCCACAAGCTCAGAGAACAAACCTTCACCCTTGCCTATACCTATGCTTGAGAAAACCTCTCCAAAAGAACCTATGTAGATTGAGGGTGCGTGTCCTCAACTGACTGATACATTTCTTTTAGTTCATATAGTTAAAGCATCTTAAACTATTTTAGATTTTTACTCACCCTAGCATAAAGAGGAAAAAACAAAACACATTAATACTGGAAAGATTGAAATAAGAGAGATAAGTGAAAGGAAGAAATGTTACTTCTATAGTATGTATATCATAAAACTGGCTTCCCAAAGAAATTAAGTCAGAAAAAGGAACATACTTTCAAGCACTAGTTCAATGAAGATGTCAACTTTGTATATTAAAAGCATCTGATCAAACATATAATGCTTCAAACTGCTTAATGATCTGTCTACAGGACATAAATAAGGACAAACAGACACTCACTCTGAAGAAAATTTATAATCAGGTTGCTCACTCTTGAGAACAGATGGCTCAGGAGCTGATAGAGAGGAAAGAGATGTCTTTGGTTTTTAAGGGCTTTTCCAAGGAATATTGAATTGATCTGTTCATTAATCAATGGAAGAATATTTATTTAATAGCAAAAAAACCCATGAACAATAATAGAAAGTTACAAGTAACAAGGCAGCCTGAAATGAACTAAAAATATTTATGAAAGACCATTATTCTTCAAAATCTTTTCGTATGAACCAAAAACAAATCAACTCTGAACAATCCAAATTCGAAAATGAACAAACATGAATTTCTTACAAAATATAAGTGGAACAAGAACCTAAAATCACAAATACAAGTAAAATGCAAATGAGTAAAATGCTCATAGGATGTTAATAAATACCAGCTTACTGCTCAACAGAACCATCTGCTTTCATATAATTTAAACTACTTTTTCCAAATTAAACTTTCTGGTCAATCTAAGGTATCTTGGAACTTCATGTTATTTAGACCAGGAAATTATTTACAAAGTTATTTGTATGCATATAACTTTGAGTACATATATAACATAGTTTACTTTAAAAGTTAATTTCTAACATTTATTTTTCAATATAATTTAAACATTAGATTTGAAGAGTTCATGGCAAAAATAAACAAATGCTTTAAGATCTTGCCTCTTCCTTAGGTTCCACCTCTAAAATTAAACCTAGTACTTCTGCATTAGCTTACGTATATCGTTATATAGCTGTTGTGGAATATCTAGGCCCAAGATAGGATCCATATGTTGCCAGTAAGGAATATTCTTATAGAAAACTAAATGAGTGATTCGAGAAGCCAGTAATTCAACATCTTTTTTTGTTGCAATAATGTCTCTTCCTCCACTCCACATCGCTACTGGTATTGTAACTTCTTCAATTTTATAAAACGGAGGTGTTGTCTATTGATGAAAAGAGGGGGAAAAAAGAACAATGGCTTTCATGGATCAATTGCATTTTCAGGTATTTCCTACTTCAGAAATGTCAGGCTAGATACTAATATTTTCACCCTATCCTTGGCACCAAAAGTTTGTAGATAAAACTGCCTTCTGAGCAAGAACCCTGTATTATAAATGGTGATCTGCTGCAGTACCAGTTTTGTGTAGGACTCTGCAGGGCTTTTTTTTTTTATCATAGAACATCCAGAACAGAGTTCCGGCACCTTTTTTGAATGGAACCTTGTAGAGTAGTCAAGGCGGGTTGTATGACATGTGTGAGTTCCGGCACCTTTTTTTTTTTTTACACAAAAAAAGCACTGGACTCTGTATAATAGACTATTAAACATGCTTATGTGTTCTAGAATTTTAAAAAAGCCAAACTATAATTAATATTATTGGATTTTAAATAATGACTCTAAAGATATACCACCTTTCATTCTGCACAAAACTGGCTCATAATTTGGAGGTTCTCCTAAATTTGCAGCTCCTGCCATGAGCTTGGATGACAGTTGCATTCTTTACTCCTGCACAACGACATCTTGGGTAACAATTGCAACCTTTCCTGGATCAGGAGGCATTACATACTGTCACTCATGCTGCTGTGACATGACTGCACAATTTGATTCTGCAATCTGCTATATGCAGGGCAGAAGGAGGAAGTCAGACATTTCAAAAGAAATCAGAATTATGGTGACATAGCAAAGAGAGGAATTTATAAGATGCAACTACCTACTCATTCCACACAAGGAGCTAGCCATTTCACATAGCTACCACTTTAATGGAAAAAAAAATGTTTCTAACATTTGGAAGGAAGGAATCCTACCAACAATGACTTTGTCAGTGCGCTTTGGCTGAGTTTACTTAGTATTCCTGAAATCATGATTCTCCTGTAGCTGGGGAGTCAGATCAGTTCAAAGGCTGGGTAGTGGTATACTTCCCTTTATCTGATTCTGGATCCAGCTGATCTGATGAAGCCATTTGCCTCTTCCAGGTGATGAAACCCAACTTAGCAGAACTGCTTCAGGCTGTCCTTCTTGAGTCTAAGGCAATGGTTCTCAACCTTTCTAATGCCGCAACCCCATAATACAGTTCCCTATGTTGTGGTGACCCCCAACCACTTATACATCACCGGGTGCCAGGGGCGTGGCCAAAGAAAAGGGGGAAAAATGGTGGACAGCCTTGTTTGGCGACCCCCGTGAAATGGTCATTCGACCCCAGATGGGGTCCTGACCCACAGGTTGAGAACCACTGATCTAAGGACAGTCTGAGAAAGCAATGTGCTGTTGCCTGCTGGTCAGTTTCTATATGGTCCAGATTCCTTGGAACTGTACTGGACTTATGTGCAGGCTGGGAGGCAAGTTTCTCTCTGGTATAATCAAAAACACTGGCAAGGGAGGAAGAAACCTACAGGCTTGCTGCTCTTTCTGCATTTCTGTTGAAGGACTTCAGCTATGAGTGGAGACAGAAAATGCAGTGCACATACAAGCAAAGCAACAAGTTTAAATTAGATGAATGAGTTTTCCTCCTCACTGCCCAAAGCTAAAGTATTACCAGCCTGAGTAATTCTCTCTTAGAAAACAAATTATACACAATGAATACTCTGTGGTTAATACTGATAATCACATAAATTATACATATGAGTCACAAGTATAAGATAAAATGGTTAAGAAAAGCAATATAGAGCAGAGATTATGTTTATTTTCAAAAAGGAAAAATTCAAAAAGGAAAAAAGATACACGACATATTTTTAAAAATCTAATTTCCATAATTTGTATTTTTTGTCTACAGCATCCTTACTCTGTTATATACGGCTTTGTTCTTTTTCCCATGATCAAAATATTTAAGTTCCTTGGAATAAATAACCTAAAAGAAATGAAAGCTGGTTCAGCAGAAGTAATACAATCGCCAATATGTATTTAAATATTCTAATTCTCATTTCAAATGTTTTTTTGAAATCAATACTATCGAGTTTCAGCATAAAGTAAGTCCTTGTTACTAAGAATCATTTATTCATTAAAAATATGACCTATATTGAAGGCCATGGACTTTGTAGTATCAACATGGACTAACAACATTGCTAACTAACATAATATTTTGTATTTTAATTTGACTTTATTTTTTTCTCTTTTAAATGGTTTATCAAACCATTGCAGATTGAAATGTAAAATAGTTGATAACTTCTAACATTCCTCAATTTCAATATAAAACAACTGTCTTTGTTCTCCAAATCAGAATGTTTCTTGATAAGAGAAAGAGAGATAGTTTATGTTAATTGGGACTGGTTGTCTGTTTGTGAGCTCCAAACAACCTATTATCATTAACATGCTAAATTTTATGCCCCTACTTACATCAGAGCTGATTTAAATGGACACACATGTGTTGTGTACTTCATTCGCATGTGAATGATGAAGACACATGGCGATGCTGAACAAATGCTTTATTCACCTTCTACAACAACCAAGTAAAAGCAAAAGGCACACAGGCCTTTTTATATGGCTAGAAACCCGGACAATGTCAACCAATAGGAACAGAGTGTTTTCGCGCCTTGTGCATGTGCACAAGGCTGGCGCCGCTCTGTCTGGTCCTGGGCAGCTTTTGGAATGCCCAGGACCAATGCAACCTCCCGAGCCTGCTTTTGCAGGCTCAGGACACAACACCCCTCCCCCCTAGATGGAATATACTTCGTGAACATTCATGTATGCCATGCATTGGGAAGAGTGACATACAGTTGCATTATTCAAATGCAAGGAGTGTGGAATACTTGAATCTGCCCTCAGGCAAACCCTCTACAATATTGATTAATACAATAAATGTATCCAAAATTTAAAAAAAAAATACAAAATAATCTACCACGAGTTGCTCCGTTATTCAGGGGCCTCATGAACAAGTCCCTCATGATTTGACAACAACTTCACAAAGTCTCTCAGATGGTTGGGTGTGCACTTGGCCTGCTGCAACCTTCTAAGGCCCGGAGAGATTGCCTAGCCCACCTGCTCGCCTACCAGGTTAGGCAGGCCAGGCCTTTGCTGCCCTAAATCCCCAGGTGACCCTGGTGAGGGTGCCTGGCCTACCTGCTTGCCTACCAGGCTAGGCAGGCCAGGACTTTGCTGCCCCAAATACCCGGTTGACCCGGCCAGCTGCAGACTGGTGGACCCTCTGAGTCCAAGCCAGCATACCTTGGAGGGGTGGAAGTCCCCGAGTCCACAATGGACCCCTCTTGGGAACACTGTCCCTCGAGCCCAAGGCCAGCAGATGGAGAGGGCTGGGTAGCGGAAGTGCCCCAGTACTCTGTGGCCCCCAATCACATGCCTGAGGTGCCAGAGTCAGAAGCTGCCTCCATGGCAACACCTTTGCTGGTGACTTCATTTTGGGAGCAATTGTGGAATTTGGCAAGCACCCCTGATGGAATTCCTTTTCTCTTGCTGCTTGTGATTTGTGTGGATACCCCCGGTCAGTCTCCCTGTCTGGAGCACTATCTGACATATGTGAATACTGTGGATATCCCCGGTGTGACTCCCTCTGGAGTAATTATGGATGTGTGGGATGATCCCCTATCCAGTGAATTCCTGTTAGGAGCACTTGCGGAACCTTGGGATGAATCCCAAAGAGCCTCAGTAGTAGCTAGTGAGGGCCAGTTAGTCCTAGGAAACTGTGACCCAGAATGCATATTATGGTCCTTCTCCCCCCCCCCAGAGCAGAGCCAGGTGCGGAAGGGTGCGAGTCCAGTCTCCAACGCAGTTGGTCTATGTATCTGCAAAGAATGCAGCCATCACCCAAGGCAACAATGGTATGACAACGGCCCCGAGACCTTGCAGACCACAACTGTGACCCAGAGATGTCCAGGCCCATAGTTTCGTGCACAAACCAGATCACCCACCTGGAGTCTCCTAGGTGTCCACGGTTGTGACACCTGTGAAGCCGCCCGGTCAGGGTGCAGCCTGTCCAGTTTAGTGATGAGGCGGCGACCCCAGCGGAGTTCAGCAGGGCTCTTCCCTGTGGTTGTACATGGTGTGGTGCAGTGTGCAAGAAGGAAATCTGCTAACCTGTGATGCCAATTACCGTAAGTCAGTTTCTTGAGGGCATCTTTGGAGGTGCGCACCATTCTCTCTGCCAGTCCGTTGAAGGATGGATGGAATGGAGCCGATGGTGCATGCCGGATCAGGTTGGCCTGAAGGAAAGCCTGGAACTCAGAAGACGTAAATTGAGGGCCATTATCTGAAACCAGCACATCCGGAAGACAGTGTGATGCAAAAATTCCTGTCAACATCTGGATGGTCCTGGCAATATTAGTGGAGGAAACAGGAACAACCTCTAGCCACTTGGAATGGCTATCAACAACAACCAGGAAGAATTGCCCCTGAAAGGGCCCAGCATAATCTATATGCACCCTAGACCATGGGGTTTGAGTTTCTTCCCACCTATGTACTGTGGCCTGAGGCATTTCAGGCCGAGACTGTTCGCACACTTGGCACTCGTGCACCTGGGCCTCAATGGCTTTATCGAGCCCAGGCCACCAAAGATGGCTGCGCGCAAGCGCTTTCATCCTGACTATACCAGGATGTCCCTCATGCAGAGAAATCAATATTCTAGACCTCAATGAGGCTGGGATCACTACCCTGCTACCCCATAACAGGCAACCCTTGAAAGTGGAAAACTCATGCTTCTTGTGACAGAAGCTTTGGAACTCAGTATCTGGGCACTTGTCAGGCCATCCTGATAGCACCCATGTCAGCGCGCATGTAAGCGTGTGATCAGTGGCAGTTTCTGCAGCCACGTCCCTAGCATTGAGGGGAGAGTCAGGCAACTCCTGAATGGAAAGAATATTAATGGCTGGAGCAGGATTTGGCTCTAATTGGTTCAGGGGTAATCTGCTCAGGCCATCAGCATGACCCATTTCTTTTTCAGGTTTGTGAACTAAAGTGTAGTCATATGCTTACAGGAAAATGGACCATCTCAGCTTACGAGGAGAAATGATATGTGGGGTCTGTTTGTTAGTGGTAAACAAACCCAGCAGAGGCTTATGGTCAGTATAGACCGTGAAATGGCAGCCATATAAGAAATCATGAAATTTCTTAATGCCAGCCACTATGGCCAAGGCTTCTCTATCAATTTGAGTGTAATTCTGCTCTGCAGAAGACAGAGTCTTTGAATAATAGGCCACAAAGACCTGCGTTCCATCAGCCTTCAGATGGCTAAGTCCAGCTCCCACCCCATAAGGAGATGCATTGCATGCGATGCAAACAGGCAGTTGCTCATTGAAATGTGCTAAAACAACGTTAGAAGTGAGCAAGGCCTTAACCTCATTGAAGCTCTTGTCATGGACTTTAGTCCACTGCCAAGGAGCCTGCTTGTCTAAGAGCCTGTGTAACAACTCTGCCACTGCAGCTTTATTTGGGAGAAATGCATGGTAAAAATTTAATAGCCCCAAGAAGGCTTGCAGCTCAGACTTAGGGCTTGGGGCCTGCTGGATACCTTGCAATTTAGTTTCATCAGGGTGAATGCCTTGGGCATCAATCCTGAATCCTAAGAAGTCAGTAGAAGTGACTCCTATCTTACATTTATCCTTCTTTAGTTTAAGGCCTGCTTTTCGAGAACAAAGTGAGACAGCCCTTAATCTTTCTCCTAAATTTTGAGATGACTCCCCAGCAATGAGGACGTCATCAAAGTAGGGACAGACCCCAGGAATACCTCGAAGTGTGCTCTCCATGACACTTTGGAATATGCCAGGGGCTACATTTACTCCAAATTGCAGTCTCTTGACCTTGAAGGCCTCCCTGTGAGTTACAATAGTCTGGGCCTCTGCAGCTGCCTCATCAACAGGTAACTGTTGATAGGCCTGTGCCAGGTCAAGCTTCGCAAAAATGCATCCTCCCTTGAGGGAGGCCAGAATGTGACTAACCACAGGCACTGGATAAGCATGCTGTTGCAGCGCTTTATTCAGTGTGCACTTATAGTCTGCACATATACATATGTCCCCATTAGCCTTTAGAGGCATTACTATGGGGTTTCCCATGGACTTGAATCCACAGGTTCTAGAATGCCCTGCTGGAGCAATTTGTCCAGCTCAGCATCAATTTTACCTTTGAGGGCAAAAGGTACCCTCCTAGGTTTAACCCTGATGGGTGGATTGATGGGTCTAACCATAGCACAATGGAGGCCCCTTGTAGGATCCTAGCTCTGAACTAAACACATCTGCAAAATCCTGGCAAACCTCTGCAAGGCCCAACTTTTGCAAGCTGTGCAGCCCAGTTACCTGGATTCCCAGAGCCTCGAACCAATCGAGTCCAATAAGACTCGTACATTCACCCCCAACAACCACCACATCTAGGGAACCTTCAAAATCCTTATACTGTACCCTAAGGATGGCCTCCCCCTTAACACACACTATAGAATTTTGAAAATCAGTGAGTATTAGATTCGATGGCCTGAGTTTAACTCAAAGGCCACTACTGCTGCAAATCCTTTTAAAGGTATTAATTGAAATAATGGAAAGAGCGGACCCTGTGTCCAACTCCATTAGTAAGGGAACCCCTTACAACCTTACATTAATGGAAAGTTTCTTCTTAAGGGGCTTGTGTGTCCCTGTTCTTAGAATGCTCCTGCGTGATGTGCAGAAACCTACCCTGTTTTGGCTGGGGACCCTGGTACCTTTCTGAAGCAATTCTTCCCGAGGTTGAACCTTCTGGCGACCCAAACAGATGGATGCAATGTGGCCCTGCCTGCCACACGCCCTGCAAATGGTGGAGCGAAACCTGCAGTCAGCTCGCTTGTGGTATCCTCTGCACCTGAAGCATTGAAGAGATGCTGGGTCCTTGACCGGATGTCCATTCTGCCTCCTCTCAGCTGGTTGGTGAAGTCTGTCGACCTCCTCTTCAGGATCCACTTCTGATCCTTCTCGAGTGTCCTCTTGATGGACTGTAGCTGTGTCTCGAGGATTCCTGGCGAGGTGCAAGGCCTTCACAGCCCCGCCTGCTGCTTCCTCAGCTGCCACTCTCACAATGCATCTTGGAAGGAGACATCTTCTTTTGCAAAAATCTTTTTTTGTAAGTCTCTGCTCCTTAAACCACAGACAAAATGATCTCGCAGCCTCTCTTCCAGATCCTTGAACTCACAAGGTCTAGCTGCTTACCTTAAGGCCACAATAAAGTCCGCAGCAGATTCACCCGGCCTCTGGTCTCTCTGCTCGAACATGTGCCTCTAATCAATGACGGATAACTTCGGCTGGAAATGTTCCTTCAACATTTTCTTCAAGTCAGCATAGGTTACTGACTCCAGAGGTGCAGGGGCCACCAGATTTTCTGTGATGTCAAAAGCTTCTTGTCCACAGGCACACAAAAGAGTTGCTGCCTTCAGGCCGTCTTCTCTAATCTGATTTACTCAGAAGTAATTATCCACCCGTGCTATGTAGAAATTCCATCTCTCTGGGTGGGAGACATCGAAATCAGTCAAGCAGCCAATCTTCATCATAAACTTTACGACCTTCACTACTCGCTTCCTCTACAAGCTGCTGTTTGGGGAAAGGGTCCTTTAGCTGAGCTTAACCTCCAGCAGGCTGGGACGCTGATTCAGATGCCATCTTCCTTAAAGTTCTTAAATCTTTTGTTTCAGCTTGCAAAGGATCCCATCTTTGTCGCCAGTGTTGTGTACTTCGTTTGCGTGCAAATGATGAAGACACATGGCAATGCTGAACAAACACTTTATTCACCTTCTACAACAACCAAGCAAAAGCAAAAGGCACGCAGGCCTTTTTATATGGTCAGAAACCCGGACAATGTCAACCAATAGGAACAGACTGTTTTCGTGCCTTGCGCATGCGCACAAGGCTGGCGCCGCTCTGTCTGGTCCCGGGCAGCTTTTAGAATGCCTGGGACCAATGGAACGTCCCAAGCCTGCTTTTGCAGGCTCAGGACACAACAACATATAAAATGTTTAACTTCATGTAACTGATTTTCTTTGCAAAGGACTAGTTACTTTTGTCCTGTCCAATCAACCTTTCTCTTGATGTGTTAACTATAAAACAGAATGTAAGCTGAGGATCTGGGTTCCCTCTTTGAATGAGAGGAATCCTTTTGAATCAGAACATTCTGAATAAATTGTAATAAAAAGATCCTCCTGTCCTGGTTTATTTCATTGGAAAAATATGCATGCTGAGGCACAAAACTAGAGCCATATTTGGCCCTCAAAATACATATAGCTGTTGAAATTTCTTTAGAAGAGTAACAGTAATAAACCAATAACACTAATAAAATAGGTTAGTAAATTGCACAGAAAGAACATTTTTAAATTAAGCAAGTTATGCATCTATACACTTGCATGACTGTGTGTGTACAAAAGCTACAAAAGCTACTTATAAAATAAACTACCACAATGTTATGCAGGAGCTTAACATTAACATTTAAAATCCACCAGAGAAGGTGTTGTGAAGATCCACTTTGTGTGTCTCTAATAGTCAGAAGGAATTATCTTGAGTAACAGAAGGAACAGATGCAAAACAATGGTCAGATAAAAGAAATTGGACGGGAAAAATTATAAACTCAGACAAGACTTTCCCTAATTCTAACAAAGATAAAAGGAGAGAGGGTGAAGGACATTCAGATTTGCAAGGTTTTGTTACTATGACTTTGATTTTCTAGTCTGATCTATCTTGGGGGTGACAGTTTCTTATAAAAAGTAAAAACTTAAGAAATTAAAATTACTGCAGTGTTTTCCTATTACAACATTCATGAACGATTTACCCAAATATAGGAAACACTGATCTCAGTTCAAAAAAACATTTATGGCTTTATTTATTTATGAAATTTAGACACTGCCCACCTCACTCACAATTAACTCTGGGTGGTGTACAATTAAAAATTGTCTTAATTGTATATGAAAGACATAGTTTAAATAGAGGGGAATCCTGATAGATATATTTCAAATTTACTTTTCTTTTCCCAACTTTTGACCAGTAGCAGCCTTGAAAATCTGCAGCAATGTGTCTCATTATTTAAGAATATTCTCTTAAGCCTTCCTCCAGATTATCACCTCTATAAAATAAATAAAACTAAGGAAACAATGCCATATAGATCAGAATGATAACAGGTATAATTACATGAACCTAAACTTCATCTAATATATAATTACATCTCATGTATAATTACATGAACCTAAACTTCATCTTGTGCCTGATCAGGATTATTGATTGTGCAATTTAATTAGTATGTAAGCAAACACCTTCATTCAACAAGAAGAGGTAAGAATATTGGGAATGGATTGATATACTTAGCACTACCTCACTTAACACAAATTTCTGAATATGGATTTATCAAGTCAGAATCTATTCATATAATATTTCTGATAGTTCCTGTTCAGATACTGATGAAATTAGAATTTTAGAAACATTTGCAGAATCATCCTATATATTCTATGTAAGCAGTTGGCAATTCATTTCATCCCACTCATACATAAATGAATAAAGATTTGGAACCTGGTGATTAATTCTTAAAAATGTAGAAAAGGGGGGAAATTTAAAAAATATATAACATATACTTTATAATTATTTTAAAAATATTTTATATGCAATGTTAATATAAATATATAAAAATAATGTCTTGCATACTGAACAAAGCATTTCATCAAATACAATATTGATTCTGTCTTCCAGTGAAAATGTAAATTACATTCTACCTGTCCCCAATGAGATACTGTTTTAACAGATGTGAAATCAGGAAAAATTCCAACATAAACATCTGCTCGACTCTGGAAAACAAGAGGAATTCACATTTTAATAGCTATCAGTATGCTGTACATACCTCCCAGTTGATGTGGGCAACAGTACCTCTAGTATTCTTAGCTTGCAAAGATAGCATGGGCATACTTAGAGTAAAACTAGGCTTCAGTTGCCCTAATAACCTACAGACCAAACTGTGCCCAGACTTATGTTATTATTACATTTAGAAAGGAATATTATATGTGACATGGGTATGAATAAAGCTGATAATCATTTGTAACATAGAATTCTCACATTGATAATGAGGATACCATTATATAAACACAACCTGAGAATAAATTCACAAGAAATTGGCTCCCTCCATGTACTGAATGTGCCAGAGGAAGAATGCCACAATTAAACAGTTTTGCATTACCTCTAAATAAGTTCCAAATCTGAAAACAATGTTGCTTGCTGCAATCTTTGTATTCTCACTTCAACCATTCCCCTAATAATCTTATTAATCTGAGCTCAGAGATCATTGTTCATGTACTAAGAAGATCAGGTAAATATCCTACTCTTTGTTTCAACTCAATTCAATTGAACAATGGCATGACAGGCAGAAGAGGTCATTATTGGCTCACCTGGTGTAAATTATCACAGTTAAAAGATTAACACCTGGAATGTAAGAAGAGTATGTGGCAAAAAAAAATCAATTAGCAACAGAAAGAAAGAAAAATAGGTGTGCTGTAGGTTTGCAAAACTAGGACAAGAGGTGATATAAATTTGAATGGAAGGTGGTCTGATCTTCTACAACAGAACAGAGGAATACATGAAGGGTTTATGGAGGGCTATTGTCAGAACCCATTTATATTTCATTTCTATTTATCTCCTCTAATCTAAAACCAAATTTCACCTTCCCCTGAGTTCTGCCATAGTCTCAAGGGGGAGGAGGGATATGCCTGTGAGGTCATTGCTTTCACTTCCTATATTCACTACAATGTAACCTTTTATTTATTGCCTCTGTGTCTGCTGCCCATTACAATGTAATAAATTGCCTCCTGCACTATACATCTCTCTGAACTTTCTTCTCCCTAACCTGGCAGCTAGGAAAGGGGGGGGGGAATATAAACCTCTGGAGCCTGGCTTATTTCTCCGGTCTCAAAAGCAGGTGCGAAGAGCTATTGAACATCGTGCTACAACTGGAGCTGGACCAATGTTATCTCCCCTTTCCCACGATGGACTTAACACCTGAGGATTGGCCAGTCTGAACCATCTGGATGAACTGTGGGGTGGGGTTTGCTTAGGGACACTTCAAAGTATCGATCTGTAAAGAAATCCCTCAGATCCTGTCTATTATGCCTGCTACTGACTACTCTTAATAAAAATTCCTGTTGGAAGAAATTGTTTCCAATAATTCTGCTTTCTTAAGATGTGGGATTGAAGTGGGTCCTTACATTAGACAGGATCTGCAGTAATAGTCAACCTTGAAGGAAGATCCTTACCAGGGGACTTTGCAAAAAATACAATGTCGGACAATGGAGCAGGGAAGGAAGAAAACCTGTGGAAAGGGAACCTTCCCCTGGCTGGGATCCCGCCAGTTATTGGGATCCAAGACGTCATACTCCTCAGGAGAAGAAATGGTGGAAATGCACGATCACAAACCTCAGTGGTCGATGGGCATTGGCAAGAAAGACAAATGGGGAAAGAGATCGAGAAAGGTGACCCTGAGATGAGGCAGCCACAAACCTGAATAGAAGCAACAGATGGAGAAATCCCTGCACATTAGCGAAGAGGAAGGAAGTTGTGCACAGCACTTGAATTGGATCCTAGAGAAAGCTATTGATCTGATGAAAAGAACCCTCGGCTCTCTAGGGGAGGAGAAACCTGAACCCATGGTTGCACCAGCACCTAAACCTGCCACTGGAGAGACACTGAGGGGAATCGGAACCTGTAGTCCTGGGGATGTCTGCTAAAACAGCAGCTACCACCTTGGCAGCCCCCACTCCCTGCCAACCTGCAGATGGTGATCTGGATGGGAGACAATACCGTCAGCGGCGAAGGCACCGATCCATCCAAAGATTCCTGCCACTGAATGCGAAATTCAGGGGGGAGCCACCACGCTTGGGGTACTTCCTAACCCAAGTCCTCAGCTACATGGAAGAATATGGACAGGACATCCCCAGTGACAAAGCCTGTATCTGTATTGTGCAATCCTCTCTGGACGGGGTGGCCACAGACTGGATGGTGAACCTGCATGATTCCAATGCCCCAGAGCTCAACGACTTCAACTGCTAAATGTCCTCTCTGAGAAGGCGATTCGAGGACCCCCTGGCTGATTGAAAGGTCCGTGAGAGAATCAAGACAGTGAGGCAGGGAGCTTCCGGTTCTGGATCTCAGTGCCAGCAGACACATGGGAAGAGCCCTCTCTCCACCACTGAGGAGGACCCTCACTAGATCGTGGAAGGGCGGCACCCCTTCCGTTTGATCCGAGGCAGCTCCTTTGGACCGACGAAGAAAAGATCGGCCATTAACATGGCCGATCACTAAGCCATACTGGCCGAAAGCCAAAATCACGATCAAGCACAAAGCAAGCACTGCGGAGGATTTGGGTGAGATTCTTCTTTCCCTTTCTCTTACCCCAACCTCATTCCTGTGAAAGCCTCCTGAAATTTCTTCCCCGCTTTCAGCACAGCAGCATTTACATACTTTGGGAAATTAAGCTTTAGAAAAAAAATGAACAACTAATCTAAATAACTATATAACTGGATTTGTATTTTTTTGGACACTATGGGGAACCAAAAAGTTTCCATTATAGTGATCTATCATCTCATCTATTTGTTAAGTTGGGAAAAAAATAATTGGATAAAAATTTAACCGATGTCTGGGAAAAGATTTCATAGTCTATCGGGGACATCTTGTGGTGAAACCTGGTACAGCAATTGATTTTTTTTTTACTGTGAGGCCTATTTATCCTTTAGAAGTAGCCTTCACATTATCTAAAAAAGATAAAAACCTGAAACAAATGAGTGGTGAAAATAACCTCTAGGAATAGTGGAAGTGGACATTTGTTGATTTTTATTAAACATAGCCTCCACTAGAAGATTATCTCTAACCACCACAGAAATGGAGAAATTTTACCCACAACCTAACTATAAACTTATACTTGAAAAAATCCTCGAAGCCACTGAGCTAATGAACTCAAGTGAAACACAAAGATGTCATCTTAAAAGTCACAAATGGAAACCCAGACTTTAACTGATGAACTTACAAACCCAAAAACTACTGAAGAGGAGCCAATTAATATCAAAGATGATTCTACACAACAACAAATACAACCCATGCAGAATTTTGACAAGCAAATCTTGATTTCAGCCAAAGTACTTATAACTCAAAAAGCAACAGAAACTGAAGGAAGCAACATTAAGATGGAAACACAGTATATTGAGAACTCCAACAATTTTGACAACCATACAACAACCACAACTCCAGATATGACCTTTTACTTAAGCCAGATGAAACTGGAAAAAGAAGAAGGCTTGACTGAACTGATGATAAACATCTTAAATCAAACAGAGAGACCTGAACTACTAGGGCAATAATTTAATGACTACAAAGGGGCCGGTTCCTTTGAAAAATTGATAACTGGATGGTCTCCCTTGGTTCAAACAACATGTGTAGGAATGAAGGGAGACCCACTTGAGGATTCAGGGGCACTGGTATGGAAACCTCCTTGGCACAAAAAAAAGCTAGAGTTAGATTCAGAAATGGGATTTTCCTTTTCCTCTTTCTCTTTATTGCTGATTGATGATGGAATAGCTTAAAATTTTACTTAATGGGCTAAGGAGATTTGTGCAGATATTGATTGATCTAATATCCAGGACTTAGACTTATAAAGGAAATGAAAATTAGCTACTAGACTATAGTTCTGAAATGTAACATGGAAAGGGGTTTGTGACAATGAAAGACAGTTTATTAATAAATGATGAGCTCCTAGGATGAGAAATAGAATATACTTTTGAAAATGTAACTGTCTCAATAATATGTGTTTTTTAGACATGATAAGTACTCTGTAACGAAACTAGGGAAATTTGGGTTACCCGAAGTTTAAATATTATCGTTATTAAAGGCTAAATTAGAATATGGTAATCGGAATTAGGTAAAACTTTAAAACAGGACTTGGATATGTACAGGCAAAATTATATTGACAAATGTATTGAATGACTGAACTACAATTAGAAATGTATTAATTTGAATTTGACACAATAATTAAGGGAAATAGAGAGGGAGTTTTTAATGATATAATCTGAGATATTTATGAAAGATTTTGTTATTGGACTATTGATTACCCTATCATCGCACTGCTTCCTAAATACCTGGCAGTAAAATTGAAAAAAATAATAAAACTTCTTATAAAAAAAATAAGTTGGTGAGGCAGGGCAGATGCCTGGTAGCTGAATAAATACAAAAATTCCGGGCCATTGCCAACAAGCTGAACTGGCCAGAAGACATCCTCCTTAGCCATTTCAAAGATGGCCTAAACTATGACCTATATGATGTTTGCCTGCCTCGAGGGGACCTACACCACCTCAATGAATAGTACATCCTGGCAGAGGAAGCAGAGGTTGACCTACTGAAGAGGCACCGCCGAGGAAAACCATGGGGCCGCTCACCTCCTGAGCCGATGCGCAAGCCAGCGAAATCATGGGCTATGGCCAAGAAGTCAACAGGCTATTTCAAATGTGGGAGAGAGGGTCATCATGCCATAGAATGCTGCCCAAATGCCCCTCAGTGCAACCCAGACTGATCACCGGCCAGGAAATCAGGGAAGTCCCCAGCCAAGCCAAAAGAACCCACCATGAGGGCAATAGAGGCTGTGGAGTCTCCAATCCCTGCCAAACGTGAGGACGGAACTCCGGCCTACACTTCAGGGACAGTGGACACTTCAGATGACAGCTCAGAGGGCAAACCCCTGGTAAGTGGACCCATCACACCCATCCTCAAGACAGTGACTATATTAGCTCCCTCCATGCCTGAAGCTGTCAAAGTG